TTGGATTGGATTTACACTATTCATCCAATTTTTCCCCCCAAAAAACATTAAATCAAACATCTATTTTTCATTTTTTATATTATACTAAAAATCAATTTTACATTCAAAACATCATATCAACACCTATTTATATCACATCATACAACTATTCTAATTCAAAATTTTTACTATTCAAATCCCAACTCAAAATCCAAACCGCCAAACAAACACACCCTGAATATTAATATTTTTAATATTGATTTTTAAACATTTAAAGATTATCTATGACATTGTTCTTTAATTCTACACAATTCCTCTTTTATCTACGTTTTCTTAATAAAATAGTATAGATAATTAAGTAATTTATTAATATGTATATAAAATTTATAAATTTAGTATATAGAAAAGCTGTCTACGGTTTGGGATTTGTATGCTTAGATTTTTGTTGTTTTTATACAAAATACTTATTTGATTGTGTAAGAAAACCTATATATATATATATAACCAACAAATAAAAAATTGGAGATGAAGTAATATAATAGTTTACTGTACAATCCTTATTCAGTATTTCACCACATCTCAAGAACGTCAAATGTATTAACTATAGTAATTGTCTAGTAAAAACAAAGCATCAAAAACAAAAAACGAATTACTTCACCTGTAATTTTGTATTAATTATAGTCGTTGTCTTGTAAATACAAAGACTCTCTTACTATTGTGCATTGATCATAGAAGATCGTGTGAAGTGGCTGTCCGGAAGATTGAGTTCTTCGTGAGAGCCGTAAGAAAATTTTCTTGAATTAAAAAGAAACTAAATGAAAACATAATGAGTTGTATTTTGTACATCTAGGCATAGCATAGCATACCTGTCCATATCAACTTCTAAGTTAGGCATATCGTCATTGCCAGTAGAAGAGCTCGAAACTATATCCAACATATAATTGACGACATTAACAAATGAAGTATTGGAAGTATCTCTACATTTGCTTAATCAAAATAATAGTAAGAAATTAGAAATCGAATGCATAAATAAAAAATATAAAAAAAAAAAAATGTATTCCTTTTACCTACAGAGATACCCAAACCCATCATCTGATCACGTTGCTCTTGCTCCATTACCTACCTTTGGAGCACCGAATCCTCCATTAACTATCTTTGGAGGAGCTAATCCAGCGAACTTGATTCGCATTCTATAGATCATTCACATTAGATGATGTAAGGATAAGAGATAACAAGAGTTTAGAATCTTAATAATCAAGATGATATGGAAGCATTACTGGGGTAATTTTCCAGGGGTAATTTTCCACATCAAAGCCTATAGAGAGTGGCGGGTAGTACATTGGATGGACATAATTTTGTAAGTATTTCCTGCAAATATATGATATAAATTTCATTAATGAATTAGAACAATAAGCCTTTATTAAAAGTCTAATAATAATAATAATAATAATAAACCTTTCAGATTGGGTGAACTTCTCTCGATGATAAGGCTTAACAACAACACGAGCTCCACAAACAAAATGAGGATGTTTCTTCGCCAAAATCTTCTCCACAGTTTTTGTACTCTCAAAGGTCACAAAGCCGACATTCGTCTTTGTTGGCAAGGAATTCTCACATCTCTTATAGCTCCATACGCTCTTCAAACAAAACAAAAGTTAGTCGATGACAACAATATAGTAAATCATAAAAACAAAAAAACGCATCAACATAAACACCTAAAGTATTTGGCAATATCGTCCTCTGTAAAGGTACTTTCTGCAGGAAAAGTCATATATATTTGATGGGAGCTAGTAACTACGTATTTGCCACGAATGTCAATGTATTTTTCAGCCTCCTTAGCCAAGACAATATCATGCTGACCATGAGGCCTGAATAAATCCAAAATAGAGAAGTTATATAAGTATCCAACAGAGTCATTCGATCAAATAAAAACTACAATTTCACCTTTCGGTTATGCAGATACTTTTGTTTAGTTGAAGAAGAAACTTTAACAAGTTGTGCCCACTTCTCCTCTGCCTCTGGCTCTCTGTCAGGTACCCTTCGGCCTGAAGAGGGCGTCCATATCTTTCAAAGTATAACAATGGTAAGGATGCAATTGACACAGGGCCACCTTTTGATTCCAGCAACTCGACAATCTCAATTTCTATTTTCTCAGAGGGACTCCGAATTGAATTGATTATAACCACAAGATTCTTCCCCATGCCGATATCGGCAATTTCTGCCATGCTTGCAATTACCCTTTAGAAAATAATGGCAAGTCTTGCGGGCATAATCGATTGCTCTAGGAGACAAAGGCAGCACACCGTGGCTGCTGCCCTGCATCTCCGGAGCAAAACCAGGAGGAACTGAGGGTGCGCCAGCCTGCCTTAAATATTTTAAGGGATCAATCATTTGGTGCTGCTCGTTGAAGTAGGAATTTGGATCAAATGACTGATTTTGCAGCGCCGACGCATAGGATGACGATGGCGGAAAGTGCGCAATATGGAATGTAGGATCGATCAGTGGCGGAGTCGGATGATTTATCGGCACAAGACAAGTATTCATGGCCTTATATATCAGTCCATGAATGAGTATGTCAGGTCCCATGGCTAATCTGATCATCTCAGTGTTCGAAAGCTCCTTAAAATATATGTATCCCAGGACCTTCTTCACCACAGGCGAAGGCTGCATGCTCGACAACTTGGCCAACACAATCTTTGTAGCTTTTTCGATGTCCATTGCATACCATTAGTTTATTAAGCTGCCATTGATCAACACAGAAGAACAAAAACGTTTATTTTTTGTTGCATGAATTATTAACAATTGCAAAATCAAAAAGATAAAAACCTCCCAAGTTTGGGAGAGAAGTAACAAATTCAGACAATATCTCATTGTTTCATCGAAGATCCAACCTGAGAATTGGGAATGATTGCAGCAGTAATTGGCTGAGGGAAATCAGAAACTCCAAACCCTATGCATATTTGCTTACAGAAAATTTGTGATATTTGTTCATATATATATATATCACAGTATCTATAGATTGTTTTCTCTACTAGTAATTCTGGGCTATAAAAAAGGAACTTTTCAAACAAGTTATAAGTGAATTTTTCAAACCCTAAAAAATCAACATGGCGGTGACAATTTACAAAAACACCCTTCTTCTGAAAATTTAAAATTGCGATTTTTCTGAAAATTGAAAATTGCGTGCAGCAAATGTGTGGGGGCCAGGCACAGTAATTCTTTTTGGTTTTGGGGTGTTTTGAATTTTATCCAGAAGTTGGGTTGGTGTTTGTTAGAGTATTGAGTCCATCTTGCAATCCCAGCCGTTTTGGAGGGATTCTTGAGGAATAGGGCTGTTCAGAGGAAATTAGGGTTTGCTAGAAAATTTTCCACATGTGGGGTTTTGTTGGCTTTGACCATAAACCTTAATAATTTGTTAGAAATATTATATATATATATATATATATTATTTTGTTATTTATTTTGAATATATTATTATATTTTTATATTTTATAAAATATACCAATATTAATATATTTTTTTATTAATTTTAATATTTTTTTATATTTTAATAAATTAAATATTAACAAAATAATAGCTGAGGGATTCTTGAGGAATAGGGCTGTTCAGAGGAAATTAGGGTTTGCTAGAAAATTTTCCACATGTGGGTTTTGTTGGCTTTGACCATAAACCCTAATAATTTGTTAGAAGTATTATATATATATATATTATTTTGTTATTTATTTTGAATATATTATTATATTTTAATATTTTATAAAATATACCAATATTAATATTTTTTTATATTTTAATAAATTAAATATTAACAAAATAATATAAATTTATTATTTGATTAATTTTAAATTTAAAAATATATAAAAAATTAATTGAGTTTTTTCATTGTGAATATAAAATTAAAAAAAGTATCTCCTCCTATGATATAACGGAATAGATGATGTTCAAAGAAAAAGTAAAAGAGATACCCAATATAGATATCTTCATTGAAAAAAAAAAAAAAAAAAAGTCTTCCCAGGCCAGATATATCACATTGTTATGTTGATTTAATTTAAAATTTATGAAGACCATTTCAGTCATGAAAATATTATAGATAAGATATGATGTCAATTCTATTTGAGTATTGGGAAGTTGGGGCAGCCTCTTTACTAATGGTAATGAATGAATGATCAATAATCTGATGGTAACCAATGAATGATCAATAATCTGGGAATAAATTGCTAAGAAATCATTGGTGTTCCCGCAAGAATCGGGCATTCTGATTCCAATTATTCTAAAATGACATTCTGACAGTGTTCTAAACTAACATCACCCGTCATCGGAAAGGAAAAATCTAAATAAAATCACACCACTCGGTTGTTATTCTCAAATTCATCAGCTAGATGCTAATGGAAGGAGAAGACTACACTAAGCTGCCAAACATTTTTCTAACTTTAACAAATCAGAGTAAAATTAAAATATAGGGTCTTTTTAAATATCTTTTTACATTAACATAAGTATAAAAATATTGTATAGATATATTTAGAATATTAATATTTTTAATATTGATTTTTAAACATTTTAAAAATATCTATGACATTGTTCTTTAATTCTACACAATTTCTCTTTTATCTACATTTTTTAATAAAATAGTATAGATAATTAAGTAATTTATTAATATGTATATAACATTTATAAATTTAGTATATGGAAAAGATGTCTACGGTTTAATTTGTATGATTAGATTTTTGTTGTTTTTATACAAAATACTTATTTGATTGTGTAAGAAAACCTAAATATATATATACCCAATAAATAAAAAATTGAAGATGAAGTAATATAATGGTTTACTGTACAATCCTTATTCAATATTTCACCACATCTCAAAAAACGCACGAAAAATCAAACCAAAAATATCTGTATATTTGTATTAACTATAGTTATTGTCCAGTAGAAACAAAGCAGCGTTAAAAACCAAAAACGAATTACTTCACCTGTAATTTTGTATTAACTATAGTCGTTGTCTTGTTAATACAAAGACTCTCTTACTATTGTGCATTGATCATAGAAGATTGTGCGAACGGGCTGTCCGGGAGATTGAGTTCTTCGTGAGAGCTATAAGAAAATTTTCTTAAATTAAAAAGAAAGTAAATGACAACATAATGAGTTGTATTTTGTACATCTAAGCATAGCATACCTGTCCATATCAACTTCTAACTTAGGCATATCGTCATTGCCGGTAGAAGAGCTCGAAACTATATCCAACATATAATTGACGACATTAACAATTGAAGTATTGGAAGTATCTGTACATTTGTTTAACCAAAATATTAGTAAGAAAATAGAAATCGAATGCATAAATAGAAAAAAAAAATGTATTCCTTTTACCTACGGAGATACCCAAATGCATCATCTGATCACGTTGCTCTTGCTCTTGCTCTACCTGCCTTTGGAGAACCGAATCCTCCATTAACTGTCTTTGGAGGAGCGAATTCAGCGAACTTGATTCTAGATCATTCACATTAGATGTAAGGATAATAGATGAATACGAGTTTAGAATCTTAAAAATCAAGATGATATGGACGCATTACTGGGGTAATTTTCAGCATCAAAGCCTATAGATTCCGGCAGGTAATACATTTGATGGACATAATTTTTTGAGGATTTCCTGCAAATATATAAAATAAATTTCATTAATGAATTAAAACAATAAAGCCTTTATTAAAAGTCTAATGATAATAATAATAATAAACCTTCCAGATTGGGTGAACTTCTCTTGATAAGGCTTAACAACAATACGAGCTCCACAAACAAAATGAGGATGTTTCTTCGCCAAAATCTTCTCCACAGTTTTTGTACTCTCAAAGGTCACAAAGCCGAACATCCGTCTTTGTTGGCAAGGAATTCTCACATCTCTTACAGCGCCATACTCTCTTCAAACAAAACAAAAGTTAGTCGACGACAATATAATAAATCATAAAAACAAAAAAACGCATCAACATAAACACCTAAAGTATTTGGCGATATCGTCCTCTGTAAAGGTACTTTCTGGAGGAAAAGTCATATATATTTGATGGGAGCTAGTAACTATGTCGTTGCAATCATCAGTGTCAGGCTCACATCGACTGCCACGAATGTCAATGTATTTTCCAGCATCCTTGGCCAAGACAATGTCATGCTGACCATGAGGCCTGAAATAAATCCAAAATAGAAAAGTTATATAAGTAGTCAACACAGTCATTCGGTCAAATAAAAACTACAATTTCACCTTTCGATTATGCAGATACTTTTGTTTAGTTGAAGAAGAAACTTTAACAAGTTATGCCCACTTCTCCTCTGCCTCTGGCTCTCCGTCAGGTACCCTTCCGCCTGAAGAGGGCGTCCATATCTTTCAAAGTATAACAATGGCAAGGATGCAATCGACACTGGGCCACCTTTTGATTCCAACAACTTGACAATTTCAATTTCTATTTTCTCGAGGGACTCCGAATTGAATTGATTATAACCACAGGATTCTTCCCCATGCCGATATCGGCAATTTCTGCCATGCTTGCAATTACCCTTTAGAAAATAATGGCAAGTCTTGCGGGCATAATCGATTGCTCTAGGAGACAAAGGCAGCACACCGTGGCTGCCCTGCATCTCCGGAGCAAAACCAGGAGGAACTGAGGGTGCGCCAGCCTGCCTTGAATATTTTAAGGGATCAATCATTTGGTGCTGCTCTTTGAAGTAGGAATTTTGATCAAAGGACTGATTTTGCAGCGCCTGCGCATAGGATGACGATGGCGGCAAGTGCGCAATATGGAATGTAGGATCGATCAGTGGCGGCGTCGGATGATTTATCGGCACAAGACAAGTATTCATGGCCTTATATATCAGTCCATGAATGAGTATGTCAGGTCCCATGGCTAATCTGATCATCTCAGTGTTCGAAAGCTCCTTAAAATATATGTATCCCAGGACCTTCTTCACCACAGGCGAAGGCTGCATGCTCGACAACTTGGCCAACACAATCTTTGTAGCTTTTTCGATGTCCATTGCATTCCATTAGTTTATTAAGCTGCCACTGATCAACGCAGAAGAACAAAAACGTTTATTTTTTGTTGCATGAAATTATTAACAATTGCAAAATCAAAAAGATAAAAACCTCCCAAGTTTGGGAGAGAAGTAACAAATTCAGACAATATCTCATTGTTTCATCGAAGATCCAACCTGAGAATTGGGAATGATTGCAGCAGTAATTGGCTGAGGGAAATCAGAAACTCCAAACCCTATGCATATTTGCTTACAGAAAATTTGTGATATTTGTTCATATATATATATATATATATCACAGTATCTGTAGATTGTTTTCTCTCCTCGTAATCCTGGGCTATAAAAAAGGAACTTTTCACACAAGTTATTATAAGTGAATTTTTCAAACCCTAAAAAATCAACATGGCGGTGGCAATTTACAAAAATAACCTTTTTTCTGAAAATTTGGGTTTTGGGGTGTTTTGAATTTTATCCAGAAGTTGGGGGTGTTTGTTAGCGTATTGAGTCCATCTTGAAATCCCAACAGGAATAGGGCTGTTTAGAGGAAATTAGGGTTTGTTAGAAAATTTTCCACCTGCGGTTTTGTTGGCTTTGACCATAAACCCTAATAATAGTAGTTCTTAATTTACTATATATGGTTCTCATGCATTGAATTACTGCGGCTATGACTATTTATTACTTTTACTTTATCCTACTTTCTTCCCATGGCTTGCGCCGCCAAAACTATCGGGGTTGGCCTACTTCATTTTAACAGTTCTACCATTGAAATTTTAAAATACATAATGTAAATATGTAAGACTGAGCAAGTTATATAGAAAATATGGCCTTTTTACTTGAATTATGATGGATCACTAGAGATGATAATCTACTTTGTTTATGTAACAATTTTAAATTCATGAATATGCATAGCCAATTATTTACTTTATATATATATATAAAGTATTTTTTGAGTTTTCATGTTTTCAGGTTTATTTTGTGTTGGGTTGTTTGTACTTGTTCGCATCATTAATTGATTGGAAACAAAATAGGTATTGTGCTTGACTTTAAGATTCCGGGTAGCAAATATTGTGTTTGGATCATGTTCGAGCTTGTATATATTTCCTTACAATATTTTCATAATCATGTTTATCACACTGGTTATATGTTCATAATCATATACTTTCCACGAAAGTATAAAAAAGATGCACAAAATAATTGTAATTTACAATGCATCACAATCACTTCTTCTTCTTTTTTGTTTGCCTCTATGCTTTCTTTGATATATATGCCATCACAATTTTTATTTTCATCCAATTAAGTTTATCACAATTCACAGTCAACAACTTTGTACTTTTCTTTTACATAGTTAATCTTTGTAATATATATCTTTTTGGAAGCAAGATTTGAACACAAACCATATTTCTTTTCGCATCAAATAACCTGAATTCGATGATCTATTAACATAGCTTCCAGTCAATTCACATTAATCCCCAATGCTGCATGTCAAGCATAGACACAGTTGTGGATGTCAGACTTTTTCACATGAGGAACTCAATTAAGAAATCAACATCTTAAGAGGAGTCAAGATATAACATTTTTTCTGCAACAATTCGGAAGTGTTGGAAAATGGTCCTGTCCGAAATCCCCTCGAATACTAGAAATAGGTCAACTCGTCCAAGCAAATGCACAATGTGTCATAAACAACACAATGAAATAGTAAATCGTTAATGCTTGGTAAACTCGTAGTAATAAGAACCTATTGTCGAAATAAAGAATGTGAATGCATGCAAAACAAAAAAGTTTACTGGAAATATTTTCTGTTAACAATCCTCGACTCAAACATAGTGCGAAAATAATCCAATTGGAGGAGGATAATATGATATGTGATAGGGCCACCAAATGATTAGCAAGACATTATGTCTAGCCAAAGACAGTAAAACAAATGTGATTTTGGGAGGCAGCCTAGGATTTTTATTTATATTTATTTTTATTTTTATTTACTTCTTTTTTAAGTTTTTGGGTTGTCGTTCAATAATGATTTTGTGTCTTATGGTTCAGGTTAAAGACTCCCCTCTAATTTTCTTTTTTTGGGGGGTCATTTGGGTCCGGGACAAATAGGTTCAAGAGATCAGAGAAAATAATTAGAATCTCTTTGAAGAAAGTCTCCAGCTCAACCGTGCACAAATAGGATTCGGGTACATATGATAATATATCTGTGGATATATTGTGTATCACGAATAAAAAACACGGATATTGTCGAATGATAAAATTTCTCGTTGCCAAGGAGAAGATGCGAGGGTTTGATTCCCCCACTAAAGGATTGGCTATAGTTCGTCCAATTTTTGATAAAATCAAAAAAGATGTTGCGAGACCGGATTTGTGCTGAAAAAAGTGATTTGTGGGCGAAAGCGGGTTGATCAGCCAAATTTTGAGATAAATTTCAAAATTCCCAATTTCAATTTTATCATTAACATGAGTAATAAATAGTTACTACTTACTATTTTGAAGTGCATGAGATCTAAAATTTCAGAGTAACTGGTAGAGCTTAGTCATGCCCATTAGTAAGTTACACCTAATTTATTGCCTTTCACTCTCAAATCTTGAGCTAAATTTCAGAATATTACCCCAAATTTAGTCATATCATGACCAAAAGTGAGCTAAAATTATTATATTTCTCCTCCATCCGACCTAATTACCAAAACCTAATTCTAATCCAACCAATTTACCCTATTAAAAAAAAAAACAACATTAAGAATCCAAAATAAAGAAACAATCGTAATTGTGATAGAAACCATAATTTCTTAATCAAAATAACAATATAAATAATTAAAAGTCCCACAATAATGTGTTTCCCAACTTTTAAACCCAATAATGAACACTAGGTAGAGGAATCAAATACAACCTTTCAAAGTCCGTTGTGTTCAGATGTCGTCGTCTATTTATTGTTTGAACGATAAACAAACTATAGAAAGACCTGTGCCGAATGAAAAACACAAACAACACATCGGTGTTTTGTATAACTAGTTTGGCCCTTAACTGATCTACATCTGGTAATAACCCAATAATATTCCACTATAAGCAGCCACACATATAACTTAAATTTATTGATTTATCTACTACATGCAAGTGCATCTTCATTCTCAAAGGCAAACATGCAAAGTCTCGACCTCTATGTAGAGCACCTTTTTCTTCCTCTTTCTTTGACCTTCCACAAAGATGCAAATGCTCTTTTTCTTGTGTTTTTTTGCTTCTGTACATTATCAAGTAATTGAGTGGTCCTTTTATCATCCAAAAAGACTTGACAAGTTCAAAAAAGATGTGGCAAAACATTTCTCATAAGCATGCAGCGTGGACAGATTGGCCGATTTAATCGCACAATTGGGAGCCAGTCCCATCATTCTAAGACAATTTCGGGATTCCGAAGAAGACTTAAAAATATCCTTGTTAAAGTGCCTTTGTAATATACATATGTTGGAGCTCGTGAGAAGCAAAATAATAGCATCCATTCTGCAGAGCGCGGAAGTGTTTCAGATTTTAGTCGAGCTACTGAAGGACGCGAATATGAATGTTAGGGAGCTGGCTCTGAGACTTATCAATATGTTGTGCGATTATGGATATCGAGCAGGCTTTGTTAATTGTGGGGTGATTCCCATTTTTGTCGACTTGCTGCATATGAACGGCTCTGATGAGGTGAAGAGGTATGCTGCAGAAGGTCTTGTGTGCGCAACGATGGATCCATTGCTCATAGATCAGGTGCCACCTGGAATTATCGACACGCTGTTTGTGCAGGACGTGTTCAGTCAAATGATTCAATCCGATGATTCGGCGCCGGATGATGAGGAGAGCAAGTAAGTGAAGATCAGCTCCCTTAGCACCATGACCTTTGATTCTGCAGCTATATTTCATGGTGTGAAAGAACAGAGGAGACGGAACCCATAATAACAAGTAAAGACAATTCACAAGCAAAAATTGCTAGAGTTTATAACATAGTTGTTAGAGGCGCGCAATGGCGCATGCTCATCACACCATTATCTATAGCAAGGCGCACGTGGCGTGTGACATGCTCATTGCATCACTATTATGTAGGGCGAGATGCATGCCATGGCATGTGGAACACGTGAAGTGGTCATTTTGCCGTTATATTTGGGACGGGTTGCCTCTTAACAAGGGATGTTCTTCGCATGCACCTTTGCCATGGTGCAACGGGAGATGGCACGTTCAATCGCACCCATATATGTCTATAGCACGGCACAGGCCACGGCATTTGGTTTGTTCATTATGTTGTTATCATTGGAACAGTGCGCCTCTTAATGAGGCATGTGACGTGCACATTTTCGACGATGCAATGGAGCAAACTTTTAAGGATTTGTTCTATTTGACATGCACATTTTCGAGGATGCAATGGAGCAAAAATGTCAAAAGAATTTATACACTTTTCTACTCACCAATAAGATATCATTATTTTTTAATTTACTACAAAATTCGAAAGGATCCTTTACATAGAGATAAATCAAATATTTATTAAATAATTATTTACAATCTAACTTATAGCTCAATAATCCAACCGATAACCAAAAATGGATTTTGTCCTCAAAATCAGACGTTTAGACGGGCAGATCGAAGTAATAGACTGTAAAGAGTTGCTTATAGAGCTGTTAAACGAATCGAGCAGCTCACGAGCCAAGCTCGACTCGGCTCGTTAACAGCTCGCTCGGCTCGTCTCTATAAACGCTCGCGAGTAGCTCATTTGAGCTCGTTAGTGATAATATATTTATATTATTTGTATATTAATATACTATATATAATTTTTTATATCAAAATTTATATTTATTATTAAAATTTAAATATTTTATTATAAAAAATTATGAATAAAATTAAATATATTTAATTTATATATTAAAAAATATACATAATATATATAAAATTCAAATCGAGCTCGAACTCGAGCCTTACGAGCCGAGCTCGAGCTTGAATTTGAGCCTAACGAGCTGAGCTCGAAGCACTATTTTAGCTCGAATTCTTAACGAGTCGAGCCAAGTCTGTACCATTAACAAGTTCGAGTCGAGCTCGAACAACCAATACTCGAACTCGCTCGGCTTGTTTAACAGCTCTAGCTGCTTATATATCCGCTCCTGGGCCAGTGACTAAACAACAATAATAACTGCATTTATTTGCGCGTAATTTATAATAAATATTATTTATTTTATTATAAATAGTAAGGGATGATGGCGGTGACGTGGAATAAATTGGTGACCCGTGCCGACGCCTCCAAATCATATGGTACACATTATTTTCACCTAATGTAAATTTATGCTAGTAAGTATATAAATTCAAGCTTGGTCAAATAATAGAATGATTCTGCTGTTCTCCCTCTAACTCACTTCTTACATTACCACACAATCCAATCCAATCCAATGCAAGAAGCGCTCGCGCTTATGGCGGCACACGCCGTTCTCTCCGCCGCCGCGCCGCCGCCGGACATCTTCTTCTCTCCTTCTTCACCCTCTCCCATACAGCATTCGTCCTTCCATATCAACTCAAATGCCCTCCCATTCTTGTCTCTCTCTTCCGCTACCGCTCCCAAGCCTCTCGCCGTCATCGCCTCCGCCTCCGCCTCCGCCACTCAGAAAGCGGTTGCAGTTATTAAGGGCGCGTCCAATGTCGAGGGCGTCGTCACTCTCACCCAGAATAACAATGGTGAATTCCTTTTTCATTCAGTCAGGCATTTCATCGAACACCTTGTCCCCTCCCCTTTCATCATTTACATTATTATTAGTTTCTTCATATTCACGTTTTCTATATAAATTGAAGCCCAGCTTTGGGGATTTGTGGTCATAATTTTTCCAATCCCCTGTTTTCTTGATTTGGGAATTTGTAGATTGATTAGGCATTGATGCTCAGCTTTGGTCCCTGATTGTATATTTGGTGTTTTAGGTCCCACTACTGTGAATGTTCGTATAACAGGACTCGCTCCAGGGAAACATGGATTTCATTTGGTGAGTGTTCTTCGTTTGAATTCAATACTGGTAGCTAAAATTAAATATCATCAAAACAATGTGAATGGATCACTCATCTCAACCTTGTTAACAATGATGAATCAAGCTCATGCTCAAGCTCGACAAATTAAGAAGTCAAGTAAGCTCAACTTAGATAGTAAAGGCTTGGATTTGGTTCATAAAAAATAATAATTCAGTCAAACTCGAGGTCGAAAATTTCTCAATTCAAGTAGCTTGACTAGGAAAGGCTTGATAAAGAGAGAATTTTATATTTTTGTATATTTGATTATATTTGCAAATATATAATAGTTCAAGCTTTAACTCAAGCTCGATCCAAAAAGATTTCTAACAAGATTGAGCTAAGATCGATAAAACCTAGAACCAAGTTTGAAAATGAGATACACAGCTCGCATAAATAACAATTCTATTTAATGGGCTTTATGTTGCGATTTTCCTTGAATTGGTACAACATTTAGCTGGTGAAAATGATTTCGCTCTGAACCTGAATTGTGTTTTCGTTCGTGACATTAGCATGAGTATGGAGACACTACAAAAGGGTGCACATCAACAGGTTCGAAATTTTTCCTACATCCCAGAGTTGTGCTTGATTAAGCACATGCTACGATGTACATTTCTAAGACATAATATGTCGAATTGTTGTCAATAGGTTCGCATTTTAATCCTAATAAATTGACACATGGAGCTCCTGTGGATAAAGTCCGTCATGCGGGCGACCTGGGAAACATAGTGGCTAATGCTGATGGTATTCAGTCAATATTTCGAATACAAATTATTTTTTAAATCTTGGTAGGTACCTAAGATAGTTTATTTTGTAATGTATGCAATGCAATACATGTAGGTGTTGCTGAATCTACAGTAGTCGACAATCAGGTATCATTTGTCCGCAGATATATACTCCTCACACTCATGTCCTGTTTCATTTGGATAAATTTTCACTCAAATTTAGAGGCATATTTGTGGAATCGTAATTTCTAAAATGTACAGATAGCATTGGCTGGTCCAAATTCAGCCATTGGAAGAGCTTTCGTGGTTCATGAGCTTGAAGATGATCTCGGAAAGGGTACAATTTTATGGTTCACTTTTGTAGTAGTACACACTTTCGATTATTTTTCAACTCTGTAATATCTTCCTGGTATTGCTTGTGAATCTTATCCAACTTTTTGCAATCCTTTCGAATGCAGGTGGTACTGAGCTCAGCCTTTCTACTGGAAATGCCGGTGGCCGTTTGGCTTGTGGTATGCTACTTTTAATCCATGCTATTTCGTCATATAATTGGCGCGAAAAATTGTTTATATTGTCTTAATTGTTCATTTGTTTTACATTTGGGCATAATCTTTCTCAAGAATTTTTAGACTACCGAGTAATAGACTGTTATACGCCTTTTATTTTGTAAAAGTGCGTAAAGAATACATCCGAAAAATTATGTGGTATTTTTTTTTTTTATGAACTGTACATATTTTAAAGGAATTACTTGTAGATGCTGGATCGATAATCTTGTCATGTTTTGTAATTTTAGAAGCAATAAACGTTATTTCTTCTTATATGCGAGCGATGTATTTGCTTATGTTTTCGCAACATTCAATTGTGTTTTCATTTTAGCTTCGAAAAACATCATATCCAACATTTACTTTCCGCCTAAAATTATCTTCTTACCTATGTGCAATTTTGCAGGTGTTGTTGGTTTAACTCCATTTTTGAAGTAGCTGTTCCCTGTTTGCTTTGTGTACTCTGAATTCTGAAATATAAACCCAATCTGTGCTGTAATTAAAAGTCATGGATTGCTTTTTTGTGACAATGTCGGAGTTTGTTTCGATAATTGTTTGTGGGTAATATTTTTTCAAATTTTATTATTTGGACTCTGTATTTTTCAAAAAAAATATATATTTTTTTTCTTCACAAAACATCTCATAAAACATTATTTTTCTATCAAACTCAAACCAATTTTTTTTCAAACTCATCAAAAGAAACACACCTATTGATTTTAATGACTACTTAAACTGATGGAATGACCAACATAAATAAATGCCTTGAATAATTTTCTTACAGATAAGATATCATCGATTATTATTTAAATATTATTATTTTTAATGTCGAACATTAGTAATACCAACGTCTTATAATAAACGTGATAGCATTTATGCGTTATTGTGTTTAATATTATAAATATTAAATATTTTTATATTGATATAATTTATTATGTCATATTTTATATTATAAAAAACTAATATATATTTTTTTTTCTTGATTTATATAAAAATTATAAATATAATAATTAATTAATTAATTAGTATTATAATTCTTACAGTCAACATCGTCTTAGTAAAAAATCTTCCAAAACAAAGTCAAACAAAACAAAATTTGGGCCAATATATATGCAAGGGCAAGCAATTGTATCTGGACGCAATTTTGGTCGAACACCATTTTGTCGTGAGCTGTGAGCGTCTATAATAATAATAATAATAATAATAATAATCTATTGCCGATCAAAAATAATAATAATAATAATAATAATAATAATAATAATATAGATTATCACGTTATAAAAAAATAAAAATTAAAAAATTAATAGTCTATGTTGATACGTGAGCCACAATCACCCACGTACATACAATACAATACAAGTGAAGTGAAGGAGATAAAAATGGCAGTTGCCAACTACCGAAATTCCAAACCCAGCGGTCAACCTGCGATGAATGCTCTCCTCCGATTCTTCGCCGTCCTGTCGGTGATCGCTTCTGCTTCTGCTGCTGCTGCTGTTGCTGATTCTGCCAAGAAAGTTAGCTTCGAGATATACTACGAGACCCTCTGCCCTTACTGTTCCAATCTCATCGTCAACTATCTCCCCGAGCTTTTCGAATCTGATCTCATTTCTATTACGGATCTGAAGCTCCTTCCTTACGGAAACGCTAAGATAAGCCCCAATGGAACCATCGTTTGCCAGGTAATTTGTCATTTGTGATGTTTTTCCCCTCTTTTGCGGATTGGGAGGTTTTCGTTCCTTGTTTGTGTTTATGTTAGGTTAAAAAGTACGTGTTTGGTTCCTAATTTATGTGTTTTTGCTGGATTGTAGCTTTGATTTCTCTTTCATTTTCGTTCTCATTTTCACGATATGCGACCCCAAAAAGTTGGGAGGAAAAAGCAACATGAGGCTATCATTTTACTTTTCTCAAATGCGAGCAGTTTTTTTTTTCTTGAAGAATGAGATTCGTTTAGACTGATTGTTGATATAGAAAGGATGCAGAAAAAGGTTTTGAAAAACGACCTCTTGGGATGATCCAGAGTTGACTGTGATGTTCATCCAACAAATTTTGAGTAGCTCCAATCAGGGTTAAAATTAAACAAATTTTATTTGATATTTAGAGGGTGCTCAGCTAAGATTACCATCCCTTAAAAACGTTCGTTGAATACAGATGCTTATATTGAACAGAGTATCATGTAGAGGATAGTATTCTAAGTTCTCAACTTATGTTTTTGTTAACCAAAATCTAGTTCTTTAATAGTTTAGCAGTCATATGCTGTATGCATACCTCCGTATATGTATTCCTTCTCTAAAAGTGCCTTAATAATTATCTGTATTCCTCCAGAAAATAGCAATATTTTAAGGATAGTTTTGTTTTATAAAAGTACTTTAAAATTCTAAATCTATTATTTCTGCGGTGACTAATGATATTTTGGTGTTTCTCTCTACACTTGTAGTATATTTTATTAAAACCTGCCTTCTTATTATTTATAATTCTTGTTTTTAACTCTTAAAGAATCTACAAATGTTGGATCTCTAATTATGACACTTGTTCTTTTGTTGAATCTTGTTTTCTCTGAAGCTTTTGATCATCAAATTCTGATGCCTTTCAGTAATATTATCTGTTTTGTTCTCTTCTATTATTCTTATGTTTGTGTTATTTATCTGTTTTTGTGTACTATGGTTGATTGCTAGAAATTCAAGGAATAATAATTTATATTGATGATATACACATATGTACCAAAAAAAGTAGAACATGTAGCTCTATTACATAATTCTGCCTGTACACCATCAGCCGGTAGACAGAATTAAAACCCGAGTGGGTGATTAGGAGTCCACTTCTTAGAAAAAGCTATGCACATAAGAAGGCTTCACTGCAGTAAACAAAAAAAACCCATCCAGTTTTAAATAAGCACCAAAAGTAACCATTTTCTTATCACACTTCCTTGCACATTATATTAACCAAAACTCGGATGACACAAATCTGTATAGAACTATCGGATGCACTACAGCTAGTTTGGTGAAATACAATACACTATTGGGTTATTGGACTGCAGACTAATCCAGCTTGCAACTTACTATAGTTATACATTGAATATTTAGCCTACAGTTCAAAAGGTGGTGAGTTGGAGAATTTACTGGATTTTACAAGGGATGGGTTCACAAAATACAACAAAGTTACAAATTCAACTATCATAGTTGGGTTTTACAGTGTTTTGTGCGGAAGTTACAAATACTCAGATCTACTCAGAAATTAACATTGTCTAAGTTGGTACCGGAAAACTCTTGAGACTTCCCAAGGTACATAAAATCACTAGGCATAAAACCGATATTGATTACAACAGGAAGTATATGCAGATGAATAGACAATGGAAAACTCAAATTAGTGATGTAACCATCTATGATCTGAAGAGGAAGTGTCTGTCACAAACTGAAAAAATCTTGCTAGCCATTGCTAGTAACCGGATTGATAAACCAGGTATGGCTGTTCATTTGAATTGCTTTTAGTGTGTGATTACATTAGTATTTCTTCACATGTTCTTTATGTGATGTAAAGTATTACATAATAATTTATTGGTGTGATTTGGATGCTTATTCATAGTTGGTTATAGATTGTAGAATCTGTAAGCTGCAGAACTTCTTTTACTCTTATTATGAAAAAACTTGAATAGGGAGCTAATGATTGGAGAATTATTGTGTTTATGTTATATATTTATTTAAGGACAAGAATGTAACTTTGGTAAGAAAAGAAAATGGCTAACTAACACCCAAGCATAGTGATCTTGTTTGATTTAATAATATTTTGTTTGTGTGGTTGCAGCACGGACCATATGAATGCTTATTGAACACGGTGGAAGCATGTGCAATTCATACATGGCCTAAACTGGTTAGTATGACTATTCAAATACCAGAACAAGCTCTTGGGTTACATTAGCCTTTTGCTTAAAACATGCGTAAAGTAATTATTTACTCATTTTGATCATTGGCATGTGAAGGATGCAAAGAGTGTATGCATTATTGATATTTCTTATGCTTCTCTTTTTCTCATCTCCTTTTTTATTATGATTTTAAAATCATCTGATGCAGGAGGATCATTTTCCATTTGTATACTGCGTGGAGAATCTTGTATACAACAACAATTATACCTACTGGGAGACGTGCTTTAAGAAGTTGGGTTTGGATGCCTCTCCTGTGATAAATTGTTTAAATAGTGATCTTGGGAAAAAGGTTAGTCGCTGACTGATTATATCAATTAAGTCACGCCCACTAATATCAATATTAAATGACCATTTCACCTAAAAGATTAAATTGATTGAGAAGTGCATCATTAATTATATATTATAGTCTTCCAACAATTATAAATGGTGATGTTGCGATTTCTATTCAACACTCACTTGTGTATTTCATAATTTCTGAGCAAGATTGGTCCATCATGACCTGACTGATTTTCCTTCAGTGAACTCAGACGGTCTATTATTTCGACATTAGACAAAAGTGGTTCTCGTCTCCTGAATTAGTTATTTCAGGTATTTGACCTTTCCTACATGGTGTTCTGATATGCTTAAAACATTCATTTGTGCAGCTTGAGTTGCGATATGCAGCAGCAACAAATGCGCTCGAGCCTCCTCACACGTACGTCCCCTGGGCAGTAGTGGACGGAAAACCCATATACGATGTTAGTATCTCTTCACCTTTGCTCTTACCTTTAATAATTTCGATCTATTCTTTGTGCTATCATCAAAATCTTGAGAGTATCATCTGTGTTTCTGCAGGACTATCGAAACTTTGCAAGCTACATCTGCAAAGCATATAAAGGAACTAATAAACCATCTGCTTGCACTAAATCCTCGGTTGGAAGTGTTAGAAAATTGAAAATGTACATGCTTCGATACTTTGGCGGGGAAGAACCAATGAAGTCGAAGGTGTTTGGTTCACGACAGAGCATACTCTCATGGCTGCAGGGCATCGCGATGGAGATTGCTTGACCAGACCAGAGGTTCGTATCAAGAACTATTGCTGCTCTCTTTAAGAATGGATATGAAAATGTTGTGCTGTAGTTAAGTAAATTATGTTCCTGTGTAGTCATGAATATTCATATAGACTATAGACGTGCTGTAGTATTGTCCAATTCCATTGGGGCCTTCTTAAGGTTAAGGATAGAGAGCTCTAAGGGTATGGCTTCAATGAGATTTATATATATATAAATGTATGTTTTATTTATAGCTTGACTGGGTATAATCATCTTATGTGTTAGTAGAAATTTTCATGATACTGTAAAATATTATTCCCTTCGTCCCACATAATTTGTCTTTATTTTCTATTTTCGTCCGTCTCATTTTCTTTTTTGGAAAATTAATTATACACTTTAATCATATTTTAAAATTTAAAATTTAAATTTTTTTAATCTTAATTAAACTATTTAGTTATCTTAATCTTAATCTATAATTATTTTTACTAATATATTTCTTAATTATTTACTAATTATATTTTACCTACTGATACATTATACACCCATATTAGAGTAAAATTGGTTTAAGTTTACGTAGTAATAATAATAATAATAATAATACTGATGGATGAACTTATCAGTATATGTCAATTATTAAAAAAAATAAAGATAAATTTTGGTAAATTTATATAAATATATAATATTAATTTAAACAAATTGAAAAAAGTTTTGATCTTACATTATTACTTCTTTTTAAATAAAAATTAATTTTTTATCGCTCCATCAAACATTGATTTTTAGAGGATGTTTGGGACGGATGGAGTACTATTTTAAGTTTAGTTTTATTAATTTAGATTAAATTTCAACTCCTAAAAAATCCTAGATTTGGATAAACCGCCAGGGTATATATATATTACTATAGAAAATGTTTTGCTTCTACGAAAAGGATTTTGCTAGCGAAAACGGTTATTTTAAATTATACTTTTATAATAATTTTAATTATCATATAAATTTTACAAGTATATTTTGTATTAAGATAATAAATAAAAGAAAAAAATTTAAATAAGAACTATTATTTTTTAAAAAAAAAAAAGTGTATAAATAGGTTTGTTCAATGAATTTAGTTTGTTTTGTTATATTTTAAAATCATTTTGAAATTGAATATAGATTCGAAATTCTTTTCCCTTACTAAGAAAAAGAAGTAATTATTTTTATTGAAAATAATTTATAAATATTTTAATGATATTATATATATATATATATATTAAAATGATTGTTTCAAAGAATTCATATAATATAAAATTTAATAAAATATATTTTTTTACAAAATATAGCATAAAAAATACTAATTGAACTAAAAATCAAATCACAATCCCAGTTTAAAATCAAAACCAAACAAACCAATGAATGGGTTTAAATTTTGGATTTTGCATTTTGAATAGTAAAAAAATACTAATAAAAAAATAAATAATTGAATAGTTATAAAATATGATATAAATTTATGTTAATATAATATTTTGAATATAAATATTTTTAATTAATATAAAAAATTACTATTTGATATTTTTATAAACAAAAAAAAGTTAATAAATAGTAAAATATGTCTAAATTTTTGAACTAAACACACTTTTATTTAATTATTGAAAATTACTAAAATATTATTAAATAAAAAATTAAGTTGTATTCATATGTTCATTTACTTATTAAAACATATGTACATAGTCTATGTTAAAAAATGTGTCTAAAACTATAAACATAAATAGTTTTATTATTAAATATTATTCCAATTATATTCCATACAATTTTGAATTAAAAAAAATATATTATATTATTTTTAAAAAAATTATATCAAAATAATAATATTTAAACAAAACTCAAATCAACTTATCATTTTAAATCAAATTCAAATCGTAACCAAACAAATAAAATAAGAGCGAGGACAAGAGTATTTTATACTACCTTTATCAATTTCAATATTATTATCTTTATAAAATATTTTAAAATAGTAATTACAAATTTAATACTAATATTTTTACAATTCTTAGAGACTTAAAAAAAAATTCATAAATACTAAAAACTAATAATATATATGAAAATTTGTAAAAAGTATTACTATTAAAAAGACTATTTTATATGTTTTGTAAACTTTTGAATATTTTATTAATTTTATTATTATGTGTAAATATATTAAATATTAACAATTTTTAAGAATAGTGTATTTTTAAGGCACTTAATGAACACACTCTATAAAACATAAAAAATCATACTCCGTCAAATCCAAATGAGTTATTTGGGATTTTTTTTGTAATATATTAAAAAGGAATAATATTTTATTAATTTATCTAAATATATAAGAAATTTTAATATTTTTGTTATTTATATCACATGTTTGTACTTATATCATATTAATTATTTTGAATTGAAACGAAGTAAGTAAGCATATAATTATTTTAAATATAAAAATAATATTTTGAATTGAAAGGAAGTAAGTATATAATTATTTTATAAATATATATTAAATAAAAATATCAAAATTTTTTATATATTTTTATTAATTAATAAATAATAATACTATTAATTTTTAATTTAGTATAAAGTCCAAACGCTGGACTGAAGTAAAAAACTAAAGCAAAGGCCAGACAAAGGAAGGAATCCATGGAATTGCAATTGCAACGGAGGAGAAGAGAACAGTCAACTCTCGAAAACACAACCGAACCAAACCCAAGCAAGGCCAAAGCACGAAGCGGGTGACACTTTTGTTGACCCCTTCGACCGCATGTCTCCGTCTCCTTCTCCTTCCTAAACCCCTCCATTTCCCTTTTCCTGCATTCTCTTCCCTTTCCCATTTCCCGCTGTGGGTTTCTTCCATGTTTCTTTCACTATTGACTGTTCATTAACAGGGAGTGAGGAAAGGTTCTTCGAGCCTCAATTTAATTGTAGTAATTTAGGCCGGGAGAGAGCTCCAAACCCCTGCCTGACTGTGGAACTTTACCTACGGGAGAAGAAGAAGGGGGGACGGCCAGGAGTGGGACCCCCCTTTGGTTCGATCGTGGTCCTTGTCGGCCGGAAACCCTGCACGGTGGGTGGGTGGGAATTCGTGAGCATGAGATTTGGCCATTCTCACTTTTCTGCCTTGCTTTTTTCTTTCTTTGTATTTGCGCGTAATTCTAGGTTGCCTAGTTTGGATGTTTATCCCCAAATGTGTTCGACGTTTTGCCTGTTTTAAAGTTTCCTTTTTAAAGGTCTCACCTTTGAACGCATTGTTATTGAAAGCCTTTTATATGATTCGAATGTGTGGGAATTGATTTTACCTCTTATATTTGCTTAGCAGTTCTCGTGGACGTGTTTATCTTTTTCTTGGATTGATGGGAACGAGTCACGAGATGATTAACTTAATGTTGTGGATGATCTCTTTGGCGCTGCTTTCTGGTAAGTTCTAGCAGTCTTTCCCGATCTCTCGCGTATCAAATGTTGTAATATGATTTTGTGTTGAAGCTGAAACTGTAACAGATATGGGGCTTACAATTCTGAGTAACAGAAAATATGTTTGCTCCTCGCACAAATGTATTTGCCAAAAATTTGTATTTTGATGGAGATGCTTTTGTTTTCGAATTCAATTTTTAGGTCTTGTAAGAATACAGACAGTGGTGGGAGATGAGGGCTTTAGGCATTGTGAAAGTAAGGTCAAGAAATGGGCATCTGCTTCCATCAATTCTGATGTTAAAGAACATGAGCACGCATTGCGTGACCTGCTCTTTTTCCTTCACGTTCCTCGAACTGGAGGAAGAACATATTACTACTGGTATGCTTATTGTGCTGTGTTTCTGAGTAAATGGTGTTGTGAGAAAGAGATGGAGGTTTTATGTTCTTAAACAGTATGCGGATGATCTGTGCTAATTATTTTATTTATTTGCTTTCAGCTTCTTGAAAAAGCTGTACCCGGGTTCTCAGGAATGTCCGCGATCTTATGATAAGTTAAGAGTTAATCCGAGGTAATTCGTGATATTTTTTCAAAGACTTGTTGAAGTTTGATAGTCAATTTCGTAAAATTGTTTTATTTATCTTTTGGTATGTTACCCTTTGTGTTAGTACTGAGTTTACATTATTTTTTTAAATGTGGGATTGCTGTTTAATTTTCTGTATATTTTCCCTTTGTGGACGGTGGAATTGGGTTGTGGTAACTTTTTCAAACTATATAATCGGGGGCCAATTTTTTTTAGAGTATTGAAATTTTAGATGTGTGTTATTCTCAATTTCGAAAGGTATTGAATTTTGTTTTGTATAACAGAAAACCAAAGTGCCGACTGCTAAGCACCCATGATGACTATAGTATGATGTCCAAACTTCCCAAGGAGAGAACTTCAGTGGTGACAATACTTAGAAACCCTGTCGACCGTGTTTTTAGCACTTACGAATTTTCTGTGGAGGTGGCTGCTAGATTTTTGATTCATCCTAACTTAACATCAGTTGCAAGAATGTCTCGTCGCGCACGTAAAAAGACAAACGGAATAAGCACGCTGGATATTTGGCCATGGAAGTACTTGGTTCCATGGATGAGGGAAGATCTATTTGCTCGAGTATGTTCGCTACTGCTGCAATTTTTTTCTTTTTTCCTTCTATTTGGGCATTCCTTGATCTGGTAATTTCAAGTCATTATATAATCATATTACATGATGCTTCTTACCCATTTACTGTTTAGTACGTTGCCATTCTGTCTCTTTGCCCTCTGATCCACATCTCTTTCATTTCTATGGCATTTTAGTTGTAATTGTTTATTTGATAATCTTTGTGAACAGCATAACTTGAGATTGTTGACTTAAAACTCTAGTTGTGTTGTCGCACTAGCGAAATCTTACTCTTCTTGTAAGAGTTCCTTTCCCATTGTCAATTATGCTGCAACTTACCATTGGTTAATGTCTGTGTGCGTAATTAATCTACGTAACAAAATAGGCTTTCCAATGATGTATGTTGACTAAGATGATATTATTAAAAAACGGTTTGCCTAGACCAGGATGACTGACTTTATATTGAAGCTGCATCTACTATAAGCTAGATTCTTCTTGACCTCTGTTTCGTCAGATGATGAGGATTTTAGGTAAAACTCACTCATGACCTGGGAGTTTTTGCTGTCTGGAATATACAGTTTTAGATTATTTTATTTTTAAGATTTATGTGCCCTTCAACTATACATTTTTTAATCATTGCTACCATACTACCGTAAATCTGTACACGCTGGTCTGTTAATATTTTGGCAGTGGATCATTGATTTCAAACTTTCTAACTCCTGGACAGATGATTATTTTTATTGAGTTTTTGCAGATGTTGGTGGAATAAGGTTTGGAAATTATAGCACCGTTTTAAACTCGAAACTTTATTCCGCGCTTGTGACTGTTCTGCCTTATATCTGTTTGCATGTTTATGACAGAGGGATGCTAGAAGACTTAGAGGCCAAGTGCGTTTAGAGACGAATGACCCTTATGATATGGAAGATGTCTTAATGCCTCTACATGACTACATTAATGATCCAATTGCTCGCGACATTATTCACAACGGGGCTACCTTCCAGGTACTGTAATTTGCTCAAAACGTGTTAGAAGCTCTATGGTTATGTTGATGATAAATATGATGTTTTGGAAGCTCTACTTTTGGAATTTGTATTTCTTAGTTGTTTACACTGCCGTGCTTTTCCTTAAGAAGAAACCGCTGCATAAATGCTTAATTCTAATGGATTAAATTACTTATCATCATTTTGTAAAAATCCTTTCAAATGACAATGTGTAGGTTTTTTGGGTTTTTTTTTTTTTTTTTTTTGTCTCGATGAAAATGTAAATTTTCTTTTGATAATCAGTATTGCCGCATTACATATTTGTGGCTGCTAGTTTGTGTTGTTGCTTTTAGGTTTTTTTATCTTGAATTTCAAATACTTCACAAAGTGTGCAATGAGTGTTATTTTTCTGGCTGGATGGAGAATTTGTATAAAAATTTATAAATATGGATGCCATGCACTGCTTGTATAATTATCGAGTTTTCATTATCATGTGTATATGAAATGAATGAAAGAAAGGAAGAATATTTTAATGACCTTGTCTCAATCAAGATCAGTAAGCATCTTCTGTTCACTGTAATTGTTTTGTGATGCACATATTGATAGGTCCATCGAAATATTGTTCTCTCGTTGAATTAGTACAGTATTCCCTCAAAATCAAATAGAAGTTTTGGCTAATCTCTCAAACTGGCTTCGATTCTGCCTTATGAATTAGGATATAGCTACTAGTCATTAAGATTTGTCTCTCTTCTTTTTATTGTTTTTCACCTGAATTTTCAGATTACCGGTCTGACTAACAATTCGTATTTCTCGGAAGCACATGAAGTGCGCCGTTGTATACTCGAGTATCGTACCCTTGGTGAACATGTGCTTGAAGTTGCTAAGGTACCGTGCAGAGTTTCATTAGCTTTTATTTGGTACTTATTCAGTACGGTAAATTTGTTTTCATGTTATGGAGCTAATTACGGTGGGGACTTTATATCAAGCAGAAAAGGTTGGATGAAATGCTTTATGTCGGACTCACCGAGAACCACAGGGAATCAGCCAATATGTTCGAAAACATTGTTGCTTCACAGGTGATATCTCAGCACACATCCGATGTTGCAAGCAAGAATAATTCAGGTTATTAATCTGAAATAATTATTTGAATTCATACGATATACTTCAAATTTACATTAACCTTATATTTTGTTTGAGATGGCTTCACTTGTGAACGTTATTTCTTGCATTTCATGGCGCAGAAGAGAGCATGATGCTTGATACAGATGGTCAAGTAAGAAGCTGATATTATCGACTAAATATGTTTTTTATCAGATGTAGATGTATCGTCAAGTTTTATTTTATTTTATCTCTATCTTTTTGTTTCTGCATTGTGTAGGGTAACAACACTTATCCCATGTTAAAGAATGTTTCTTCGACTGAGAAGGATGAAGAAGCTGCACGTGGAAATGTAAGCACTTGAAATTCTTGATCTTTTCTTGTTTGAGATTCAAATCTTTCCTGCATGTTTCGTAACCGTTTATTTGTGTGTATGTGTGTAAAATTATCAGTTGACTGTTGGGAAACTGATGGAAGCATACGAATCTTGTATCTCAACCTTGAGATCTGCACAAGCTGAGCGTCGTGTTAATTCTCTGAAGCGAATTGCGCCAGCAAACTTTACAAAAGATGTATGAGTGACTATCCGAAACACATTTTCATACTTCTCTTGTTTTTCAAAGATCTTTTACCTTGTGTATTCTTGTGCTTGCAATTCAGGCTCGTCGCCAGGTTCCCGAAGTGCTTATTCAGGAAATAATGTCGCTCAACTCCCTCGACGTAGAACTCTATAAGTATGCTCAGCACATCTTCAAAAGGCAACAGGAACATGTGATGCCTACCATGGTTTATGATGTAAGTTAACTCTCTTTAATGGTTTCCCAAAGTATTTTTTTTTGTATTACCGAGTAAATTACATTATATTCGATGTGTTTTACTAAAAAGCCGCCATTCTCCCATGTAGTTTAGAAATTTACATCAGCATATATGTGTTCTATAAAATTCTACACAAAACCCCCGATCAGTTAAAAATTTTACGAGCAATATGTTTCAAATGTTTTAATAAACCGCGGAGGATATGATGTAATTTGCCCTTTATTACATCCCGATTCTTTCTACAACACAGATTTTAGATATTTTTATCCTTGGAAGTTGGAATTTTTATCTCTTACACATAATCGAATATCCATGGCTACTAATGCAACACAAAATGAATCCACTATGCCATTTATGGAGATATCATTTAGTGTTTGCAGATCAAAATGCACGATGAACTTTAGAAAAGGATCACGACCAATAACGCATTTGCATTTTACATTTTGCGCCTTTTGTTTGCAGGACTATCCAGGAAGCGCCTTCGATTCAAGCGCCTATTCTGCATTTAACTACAGCTCTCTCTCTTGGAAAGTTTTGTGCTCATCAGTTGCCGGTCTCTTTTTGCTTCTCGGAATTCTTTACATTGTAAATGCAAGAGTCAGAAGATCTTTGAAAGTCAAGCTATAGATGCACGGAAGCAGCCGCTCTAATTCTTACCGTTACTCTGCTCGCCTCGCCTCGCCTCACCTGCTCGAATGCTGACCAATTTTTAGACAATGGATTGCACCTCTACTATATCCCAGAGGTTCAAAATCACTGGTTACGTGAAAAATTGCAGGTATAGTTACTTGATAGGGTTGAATTTCCGGAAACGAGTGCCGGCACGACGGAGTCTCTTTGAGAAACATTTTGATGGAAAGTATATGCCAAAACTAAGGATTATTTCTTTTTGTGTGTGTGTATGAGATAGATATGATCAATGGATGGATGTATGTGTTTAGGTTTGAGAAATTATTATATTTTCATTCTATTTTTTGATTATGGTAAGTCAAAATATTTGTATCTTAGTTTTTTATTTTTACTTTTGTATTAGTCGATCTGTAAATTGTAAGTAGGTTTGATTATCAATTTCGATACAAAAGATTTTTACCTTAACAATAGCAATGTATACATAGTAACAAAGAATAACTGAGTTCATGGATTTTCCCAAGTCAAATAATATGTCTTTGAATATGCTAAGGATAAATTTTCCATCAACATTGAATCCTTAACAATATGGTTTGAATAAATTTTCGATCAAATGTAATAATTTATAATCATACAGGAAATGCAAAATCTCTCATGGTGACAAATACATCCCACGTCGGAATAATAGAGTAAAAATATTTTAAAAAGTATACAAATAAATTAGTTTTCATCTACTTACTAATTGATTTTGCTCAACTATATATATAAGTTCACATCTTTTAATTAAGTATAATACATGTACTCTATAAAGAATGGCAAAATAGTATTCTTGAGCAAACTTGTTATTTAATATTTAACACAAAAATTCTTACACAATTTCTATATTTTTTTAATAATACAACTAAATACTACTTCATAGCTCAATTTTTCCTAAAATACGAAAACAAAAATAAAAATGAGCACTTTTAACAAATACAATAAATAAAACGAGTGATTTTGTCATAATTTGATCAATCTCCTCTCAGCTCACCAACTTCCTTCTGTGCTGGTAACACATTTCTTGAGCAAAATCAAGAGATCCATCCGTTGTTTTGATACCAATCGGTGGCTGAAAATTAATTGGAGAGCTTCTCCCTCACCAAAATCTGGGAATTCGAGTCTGATAGAAAAGAACAATTGAAATCCTCTTCTCCAACTCACTCTTCTGCAGCCAACATAAACCCTTTATACAAAACCCTCTTCTCAAATGCACCACAAAGAGCAAAAAATCAGTGGGTGCAGATTAAGGTGGGGAAGAAGATAATAATTGGGGACAACAAAGAGATCAGCAGCCCGCTAGTAAGAGTGCAACTTACGAATGCTCCATTCCATTGCTGGGACTTCCTACAACATAGCCCCTGCCAGATCTTACTAATATTATTGTATATAATCCCTTAAACCAGATGATATATAGCATTACAATCCAGGTAAAATTCACATGCATCTGTACACCAAAGATCCCCATGGCCATTGAACTTCTAGGTCACAACTACTAATCATCAATCATTCATTACATAATCCAGAATCGCACCGTGCAAAAGAACAAGAGAGAATGCAGGGGAACAATGCAAATAGAAGATTTGTCAAGCTTCGCCTACTAACGAAAAATTCAATGCTGTTTCCATTGCTTGAAACGTGCTGGCACTTGATTTTATCCAAATGCAAGTGTAATAGGAAAAAATAAAGGAAAAAAAGTGAGAAGTTTGAAGGAAATTAAAATTCCCGTTGGCAAAACACATCCAAACACAATAAAACATGGAGGAAATGAAGTGAATAATGTGAGTGTTGAAGATGGATCAGAAAATCTGGCTTGGATTTCCTCCACAAGGGAGAAAAAACATAAAATGCGCTCAGTAATTTCAGCGTCGAATCATCTGGGGAAATAATCATCATTTCCATCTCCCAAACGAAGAATAGATTTAAAGAACAAACAAACAAACAACACACGCACGCACGCACAAGCAAAATCGCCACAGTAAATTTGAAAGCAAGGGAGGAGTTCCCAATCGCAATGACAACCATTCAACCTAATCCGACGGGACAACACTTTCCGCAAGCAATTCGCGTAAAAAGCCAATGAGGCAATAACAGACGAATATGACTAAATCGGTGGAGTTTGGGATCAGACTGACGTGCAAATAAGAATGTTCATCAGAGCGGCGAAGATGAATTCCGCCGGACTCAGAGAAAGGGAATAGAATTCTCATCATCTCACAAACTCCAACCGATGGTTTGAAATAAGGAAAACAACGATAAAATAATATAACATACATCCACTACATTCAGAGCTAATCTCTCCGTGGCTACAACTCCACCGGGCAGACACTGAAGAAGAGCCTCCTCCGGCATCAAGCAAGCGGCCAGAACCGCCACTGAGAACGAATGCGCGTTGGGGGCTATTTATAACCATACTGAACCCTAGGGTTTGGACTTTGGAGCCCACTGCAGCAAGTCACGGCGGCCCAACCGAACCTTTAACCCTAATTTCCTGATTCTATTGTTTTAATTTTTATAAAAGTAAAATAAATAAAACATCATTTTATATGATTATTATAATGTTTTCGGAGAAAATTAATGATTTAATGTATTATCTTTGAAACACATTTTAAAAGATATTATTTTAAATATTAATTAGAACCCCTTATAAAATTGTACTCCTTTGTCCCGATTCAAATACTTTTATCATTTTTTTTTCAATTTTTTATATTTTTATTAATTAATAAAATATTACTATTTTGCTATTTGATATTTAAATATTATAAATAATTTTGCTCATAACAAATTGAAGCTAAAACATCAAAATAAGATTGGATTAGGATGGAGAGTGTGTTTTACAAGCAAGCAGCTACTACACAAAAATTTCCCTAAAAAATCTCATGAACGAATTAGGGTCATCGAGCAACAGCTGTCTTTACACAGGCTCGGAACATACATATATTATATACACACATTAACAACAGCAGAAAGCTTCAATCATAGAAATGGACATGGAAACAATATTTCAGACAAGAAGCAAGAGAGAAGATGCCCAAGAAAGTCTTCACTATAGGCATAGGTGACCGATCAATCCGTCAGGACACCGGGCGCAACATTAACTTGTGTCCGGTGTTGGAAAGGGAACTGATGTCTCAAATCGATCCAACCATAGGAAGTCTTCATGACAGCCTTCCTCAAAGAAAAAAATCTCCTTCAATTCTATACCCGACATTGGTTTTCTTACAATTCAAAACTGCTCTTTGGTTCCTGTAGCATGATGCTGCTACTGATTATATCCTGCGCGCATAAATTTGTATATATATTCGGTGATTTCTGGTTTGCTTACCTCATTGGTTTTGCCTTCGTGTACAGACATTGCGCGGTCGTTTCCTACATCATGAAACGGGGTGTCATCACGCTCAATCGTCTCTATTTCGCCATTGCTGCTGGATTTCTTTTTCGAATCTTTGGGAGCTAAATGAGTCGCATCCTTGGCTTCCAGAGATGCTTCGTCGCTGTTTATTCTTTCAAATCGAACAGCACTAACTTTTCTGGCATTACCTGCGAGTATCTGCAGCAATTGTATGAACTTTCAATAACCAAGAAATTGCGACTTCAATAACCTGCAAATACAATCATCTTTGTAGCTTACGGCACACCTCAAGCTTAAAAATTTGAGTCTTCTCGGTTTCATCTTGATGGTCAGATTCGCCATGTTCTTCTCGATTTGCTCTTTCAAGGACCACTTTTATGGTCTCACCTGTCCTTGGGATGTATCCAAACGCCTCACAGACAAAACCCGAAACCGTTTCATACTGAACATCCTGCATGAGTGGATGGATGATAATTTTTTCCGTATCTAACACATTTTCTGGCATCTAATCGATAGGAAATCAGTAAAAGGAAAAGTATATTGTGTTCGACAGTGATTCTATAGAAATTTAATTCCGAAAAAATGCTTCAAGATAAGAGAATGAAATGGAAACTACCTCCGGCATTTTGATGTCAAGGTCTTCTGAGAGTTGATCAATTGATGTATTAGCATCCACGTCATATATACCTTCGGCACGCATGACTACATAGCCAGTTTTTTTCTGAATTTCCTCCTTCCATGTGGCAAAATATGAGAAACAATAACAGAGTTAGGATAAAGCTTATGGCTCCGCTTATTTGTTTCATGCAAATCAAACATTACTAGCACCGAAAAAATCTTGACAAGTATTTTAGCACTTTCTTGGAATTTAAATGCATACAGGAAAACATTTTTACCAAGTACACAACACATTCCCGTAAACAGACTCAACGGCGCAAAGTATATCTTCAACCGTATATTAAATGAGTGTTCGTTGTCAACAACAATGGAGATCAAACTTACGAACCAAACACTGAAGATAAGATTGATGGGTACAAGTTTAAGCCCCAGACCATAACTACTCATAATTTCAAAATGAAATCAAACTTACGAAACAACAGTTACCTTTGAATCATTTTCATCAAATATTTCACCAACAATTTCTTCAACTACATCTTCAAGGGTCACTATCTGTTCCAAAAATTAAAAGAACAATTCATCGCCCAAGTCTTTAACTGATTTTTGAGCAGACTTTTTTCTTATATATATATATATATATATATATGTGTGTGTGTGTGTATCATTAGAACAATTGGTTGCTTAAGTATGAGCGAAAGGTGCTTACACCAACAGTTCCTCCATATTCATTTAGAACAATGGCCATGTGTACCTTCCTGATGCGGAACTCTCTAAGAAGATTCCACACAGACATAGAATCTGCAATGTTGGATGGATTACTACTATACACATGGAATAAGTAGCGGAAGTCATAAAGTATCAATTATCGCAAATCAAGAATACCAATACAAATGACTATGGAAATAAGTTATAAACAAATACATAAACTAATATCTACATCCAAAGTCATAGATCTTGCATTTTCATGCCAGACACAGTATCATTCGGATAAGCCAATCTTTATCTGGGGACTGCAAGGCTGACAAAAAATCTAGGAAGATAATTCAATTATTTTTCTTAAACACACATTAAAATTGCATTCATATGAGCTCATAGGCTTAAAATAGAAGTACAAGTATCAAAGTTGGAGTATTGCCATTTACCAGGAACAAAGTACGCGGGTTTGTGAGCCATGTTTCCCACCATAGAACTTTCAAGAAGTTCCCCCTTCAAAACCAAACAGAATATAATTCTGCGGCTATGAGATTTTTTAGGGTTATTAGAAATGCGAATTGGTAACTTCAAAACAAAGAAGGGTAAGCCAGAAAATAGTCAACCTTTTGCACATAATCCAGAAGGTCCATAGCATATGCAATACCAACAATGTTGTCAATACGCTCCTCATAAACGGGAACCCTACAAGCAACCGCAAGGACTACTTAGCTTGCTTAGATAAACACAAACCGATTTTAAGAGGAAAAAAGAATCATACCTGGAATACTGATGATCCACCCATGAATTGTGGAAGTCAACAAGCGTGGCATTGGCGTCAATGGCAACAACATCAATAAGAGGCGTCATAACCTCTCTAACATGTGTATCCTTTATTTCCAACACGTTTTCAATCATATCCTGTCAATCCAATCCCACATTACACACTATGTCTGAGTAAGTGTCAGGCTTTAAGTTCATCGCCAATTTGGCACCTTTTATCACATTAATAATAGTAATTCGATCACATACATACATGAAAGGAAAATTACATAAGGACTCAAAAATGAAAAATAAGATGTTGCCTCTTCCATATGCAGCAGTCTTAGAAAATAAAACAGTAAAATATACACCCAGTAGACATGTTCGCCACTGCACAAAACTCCTTAATTACCTGTTCTTCCTCCTCAATTGCCCCGCTTAACTCTGCTCCGCGTAACATCAATCTTATTTCATCTTCAGTTACATATGGTTCGCTGATACATGACAATGAATAATGTAAAGCCAGGATGTAAACTGCTGATACTCCATAATTAATGGATTGGAAAACAAGAAATATATATCTGTATGTATATATACACATATGGTTAGGTGGACTGGAAAAACACCTCCTGCTTCACTATGACAGTTGCTGTACTAGTCAAGACATCGTAATCAAGAAAAGCAGCATCACTATTCTTCAAAACAAATATTAGTCACTGTGGCTTCTTAAAAGCTGCAAAATGGCTAGCAGATATTGGACACAAATGCTACAGTCCAGAACTATGTCTATAGCCAACAAATTTTATGATGTTATACCACATCAAACAAACTATATAAATATAGAAAAGAAATTAAATATATAAATTAGTTATGTACCACACCTTCTTCCCTTCAATCCTAGCAGTTTCAGCATTCCCATTGACAGATATGTTACAACTCGGCCAACAGGATACAGTATCAAAGAAAGCCATGCCACTGGCCTAACCTAAAGGAAATGGAAAAATCATTTTAAAATAAAAAATACAGTATCTGTAAACATATCTTATGGATGTCCTACATAATCACATATGCACTAGTATTTCATTAACTATTTATCACTAGAGCTAATTGATTCTTAAACAGCAAACATTTGCAAACTCACCACAAAGCGAGCAACCTCGGTGGCATTGTGAACAGCTAAACTTTTGGGAGTAATTTCAGTGAGGAGAAGAATAGCAACCTGGTGGTGTTGACAGTTTCAGGCTTAGAGAATACTCGGAAGCATAGGAAACTGATTATATTCTTCGCTTTTTAAAACTTTTATACATCTACGTATCAATCGAATCAAGAACCATTAATAACTTTATTACAGCAGAAAGGAATGTAAAAAAAAAAAATTCAGAACATTAGAAAGCATAAATCTTCTTGCACAAAAATAAAGCTGTAGTGCAAACAGCATTCGATGAGACTCCATACTAATAGTACAGAACTAATTAGGTCACTTGATTAAAAACAGCATTCAAAGTTTTACCTGATTTAAGTCTATTGAAAGAAAACATTTCGCAATCTTGAATCTATGTTCCCCAGCACAATGTTATGCAACTTACGGTCATGAATCCTATATGAATGTGATAATTAGAATAATTTCGTACTAGAAAAAAATAAAATAAATTGAAACCGATGTTTAACTCTATAATTCAGTAATAAAATCAGCATGATGATTCATCAGCAGCCTAAGGGCCCTAATATAGCATCTCTAAGATAACAACTGTCTAACTAATTGTAGAAGTGATCTTACACAAATTATCAAAATCCTAGAAAATCAACGACCCTATCCCAACTCGAACATAAACAACAGTAACATGTAAAAAGAAATTTTTAGGCATACCGTCATAACTCCAGTGGCGGCGCTGACACCAACTTCACCAAATACTGCAGTTGCAGCCTCAGTTACTAAAGCTGTCGCGACAATATTAACCACTCTGAGCACATAAAATATCTACAAATAAGAAACCTTGTTCATATTCAATGTAACAAACCATGGCTTTTCAATTAAACAAACAATAAACAGTACGTTGTGCCAATGAGGATTGTTGTCAGAAATCGAGTAACATCATTCCTCAGCATTTTGAACACACCATTCTCGGGCTCTTTATCAGCCAATTCCCTCACCTGCATGATAAACAATCATCTGGCATCTGAAATAGAAAATCTACATTGTGCAGAATGCATTTTCACTTTGTGAGAGGATAACAACAAACATGAAATATATAAACAAGTCACTGCAGATTACAGTCGAATATACTCAGCATTTTGTATCGGTAATTAGCATAAAATTCGATCCTGAACATAACCTCTACAACAACCAGGAAGATGATATCATTTTGATTCCATTTCCTCATGTGCAACATCAAATCTAACAATCTATATAGCATCATTAGGCATTTCTAATTCATCCTGCTGATAGGAAGCTAGATAACCCCCTCATAGTGATTCTTCAGTACCTTCCAAGGCCAGAGCGTTGTAATGGAGGTCTCGGCCATTGAGAAAAAGGCCGAGAGCCCTAACAGAGCCGCCAAAACCAAACCCTGATCTTTGAAAAGAGTCAAAACCTGCAAAACCTTCGGCCACGAGCTCCTCAACGCCAATACACTCCGCTCCCAAACCCCATACCCCGCACTCACTACACCCTCCGCCGCCAACGCTCTCCGGAAACTCAATATTCCGACCGCCCAAATCGCCACCGCGGCAAAGGCCAGGCTCCTCCTCACCAAAACCTCGCGAAAGATTTCTACCCTGACAGCATCGTCATCACTGCTCCCACCCGTATAAGAATTGGTTTTAACGGAAAATAAACAAAATCTAAGCCTTTTATTTGAATTGAAGAAAGCGATTGGAAACTTGTCCAGCGGAATCCAACAAGTGTCGCAGCGGATGTTGTTGTAGGGCAAATTGTGCGATAATTTCAGTAGCGAATTGCGACGGCCGACTAATGCGTATGAATTTGATTTGCTGATGAAAACTGATCGATTGAAGAATGGCGTTTCCGACGCGGCGGCGGCGGCGGCGGCGGCGGCAGCATCCATGAATCTACTACCATACAACAGAAGAAAATATATATAATTAAATATTCAAAAATTTGGCAAGAAATCTAGGGCTCTTTTCCGGAGCTTGAAGGGTGAAATCAAGTAGCAGCCGAATGAGGAGCAGCTCATCGTGATTCGTGGGCCGCTAATGTCGGAAAGCAGCGACAGCTTCCGTCTCCGACCGAGTTGGAATTTTATTCCCCTCTTTTTACTGAGAACGGATGCAAGATTCCTACACGAAATGACAGATATACCCTCCAATCAATTATGATTTATGCGTTGAAGGATGTATTTATTTATAAAATTATTGAAAAAAATATATATTTATGTGTAATACAGATAATTATAAAAAAAACAATAAAAATATATAATATATTAATTTTTAAAATATATATATATAAAGAATTATAAAAAAAAAAAACAAAGTCGAAATCTCCTTTGCAATGTTTTCCTAATTTACGCAATTAGAAATATTATTCAAATACTATCTATATATTATTTATATTAACAAATCAATCAATTTTTTTTATTTTGGTTCTTTCATAACAAGAAAAGTATTTATTATTTTTTTATATATAGTAATTGTACTGCATACTAACATTACAATATCATTTTAATTTATAAGATATTACACAAATGTATTTACTTTTACATCATATAATACTAATAAAAGTTAGTTTAGTCTTTTTATTTTTACTTCTGTTACATATGAATATAATAGTAATATTTGTAAAATTCTGTCAAAAAAACAAATTGATATATAGATATAGAACGGAGTGAGTATAAAAAAAATATATAAATTGACAATATATAGTACCCCTTCCCGTCCAACTACAAAGTATACATATTTCTATTTTGGAACGTCCAATTACAAAGTAACCCTTTCTTAATCTCTGCGCCAAAAGTAAATGTATAATTTATCGGTGAACGGAGGGAGTATAATTTTGTACATTTGATTTTGGTACATATTCTTATTTTAAATGAAATTTATATTTTTATTATGTAATAAAATAAATAAATATTTAAGATAATATTAAAAAAACAAATAAAGTGTGTAAAGAAGAGCGAAAATAGTTAGTTTGAAGAACATATAACCAAACCAACTCAAGTTTTTGAAATTTATAAAGTTACTTTCAATTGTTTTAGGTTATAAGGAGCATCGATTAGTTAAGAATGGTAAAATTCCGTACGAATGCCACAAAATATTTTATGAAAATAGTATTAAGTAAAAATGTTAAAGACTAAAATATTTTACTTTTGAAAAGATTTTTGAAAAGATTTTAAAAAATAGATTAAAGTAATAATTATGGTTAATTTGAAAAAATACTAATAATTTTGTTATAAAATAAAAACTACGGTTACTAAATAAAAAAATAAAACAATTATTTTAGAGCGAACAAAAATAAAAAAATAAAAACAATTTTTTTGGGATTAAAATTTTTTTCTTTATATAAAATATAGAGAAGTATTGACATTAATTTCATGAAAGAATAATATATATATATATATCAATAAAAATATAAAAAAAAAAAAGTTTTTTATTTATTCTAAAAAAATATCACAACAAATCTTTTATTGCTAAGCCTAAATATAACGAATTTAAGGAGACTGAGAATGAAGGTGAAGAAAAGAAACACACTAAAGGCAGAATATGGCAAACATTACTTGCAAAATGTTACGTACGATGAAGATATTTTATCCATATTTGTAATGCACCCCAAACAGAACATGTCTCATTTTCCACGCATTTGATCACACCCAAATATATAAAAAATATTGACTTTAAAAATCTCATTTACCTTTTTATCTCATTCTATTATATTCTATATAAAAAATATCATTATATTTGTATAATTTTTTTTTTCACAAAATAAGACTTTTGAAATACGAGGAAATTAGTATATAATATGGATTATAAGTAGTATAAGGGCTTTTAATTTCCACAAATAAAAATTTAGACAGTTAGTGAATTCTGGGACAAAATTTGTGTCCGACCTAAATGAGGAAATTGCGTTTTCTCGTGAAATTTTTTGTTAGATTTCACTTTCACCGTCAATTTGCTACAACACCCGATCGACCTTCATGAAGAATCACAATGTAAATAACATTATTATATGTATATATATATGTGTGTGTGTGATCAAATATGAACCTAATTTGGACTCAATGAGGCTTTATTTATTTATTTATTTATTTATTTATCAATATTCAATGATTTTATCTCATCACTCTGTGAAGACGAAAGAACTGCAGATTCTCTCCTCCAAGAACATCCATGGCGTCACTCTGTCTCTCCCTAGACTAATATATGTATATATCTATGGAACTAGTTAGCAATTTTCCGACAGCCCTCTAAATGACATAATCGGACCACTCAGAAACATGCCAAGTATGATCCATCGTCAAGCTCGGAATTCTATCGTGCTTCACCGGATTCTCCCCTCCCAGCAATCTAGCAGGGTTTCCGACCGCCGTCGTTCTCGCCGGAACTTTCTTCAGCACCACCGTCCCTGCACCGATCTTCGCTCCATCCTCAACTCTAACGTTTCCCAACACACAAGTCCCCGCCCCAATAAGAACGCCGTCGCCGATTTTCGGGTGACGGTCGCCGGAGATTTTTCCGGTCCCGCCGAGCGTCACGTTGTGCAGAATCGACACGTTGTTTCCGATGACAGCTGTCTCGCCGACCACCACTCCGGTGGCGTGGTCGAGCAGTATTCCGATCCCGATCTTCGCCCCCGGGTGGATGTCGACGGCGAAGACCTCCGACACCCTGTTTTGGATTGTTAGGGCTAGAATATTCCGGCCGGCGGACCAGAGGCTGTGCGCGATTCTGTGGGCCTGGCAAGCCAAAAAGCCTTTGAAATTGAGGAAACAGTGGACGTAGCTGATGCAGGCAGGGTCGCGTTCCTTGACGGCTCTGAGATCCTCCGCCACCGCCGGAATGATTTCCCGGTCGTCGGAGAGGATTCCGAGGAAGAGGTCGTGGAGAGTGCCGCTGGGGAGGGCGGAATCGCTCAATTTCACGGCGAGGTGATTCGCGAGAGCGCTTTCCATGGAGTCGTGCCCTAGAATTGCGCTGAAATAGTAGCTCGACAGTATGGGCTCCTTTTCGACATCGGACCTGGCTTCGTTGTTCATCGTCTTCCATATATGATCCTTCTGAGTGCGCGGCGGCGGACGGAGGCTCTTACTATTTCTTTCCGGCGGGTATGCGAGATCTCGGCAGTATTTGACGAAGAGGCGGTCGTCGTCGTCGTCGTCGGTTTCGGGGAGAGTAGGTTGGGGTCTGGCCTGGTAGAAGCAGGTGGTGGCCATGGTCGGCGGCGAGCGGTGGCGCAGAAAAGGTCTCCTGGCGAGAGCAAATGGCAGGGACAGAAACTGTTTGGAAGACATGAAAGGAGCAGATGAAAAGGTTTGTTTGTTTTAGAGAGAGAGAAAAAAGAATCAGATGTTGGACAGTGAGAGAGAGAGACACGAAATTATTAAAACAATTGACATTTTTATTAAATTAAAATATATTTAATTAAAATTCATTTAAAATTTAGTTTTCTTATTTATGTATATTATAAAAATTTATTATATAGATGGTAAATATTTTTATTGTGATATAAATTTTAAAATATTAAAATAAATATTTTTAAATTTTTTTAATTATATATATATTAAATTTATTTTAAATTTTTTAATGTTATTAATTACTTAAAAAAATATATATATATATAATAGATATTATAATTTATTATTATTTTAAATAACATGATCGATTATTTTGGGATGAAATACTTTATTAAAAAAATTTGAAAGAAAGATCGGGAGATGGGTGTCGTGGCGGTGGCGGATTTGTGGATTGAGGCGTGTCGACGGTACACTGGCAGCACAAAATTTTAAGGCAGGCAGGCAGCTAGAGCCTAGAGTGAGAAAGCATTTTATTATTATTATTAGTTTAAATTATATTCATATTCCCACCTTCCACCTTATTTGTTTATTATTTATTATTTTTATTTACTTTAATTAATTTTAAATTATATAATTTTTTATTTTATTTTAATTAAATTAAATTAAATTTATAATTATTTATATAAATAATAAAAAATATATATTTCCTCCGTCTGTATATGTATTTGACTGGACAAATTTTTTTTTTCAAAAAAAATAAAAATAAAAATATCTTGTTTATATGATAAAAAAAAAATAGTATTTTTTATAAAAAAAAATAAAACAAAAATAAATTTAGATAACAATAAAAAAAATAAATAAAAATAAATTTTAATTTATTTTGTCCAACATATTTTTTTGGCATAATTCTTTATATATGTATATATATATTTTCTTGTAAAATTAATTATCAATAATATTTACAAAATATTATACTCTCTCCTTTCATTTTTTTTTTCATGTAAATACGAGAATTTAAATAAAATATAATTAATAAATAATTAATTAGTATAATAAATGTTAAAAAAATTATAAATTATAAAATTTAAAATATAATAAATATATATAATTATATTTTAAAAAACAAATAAAGTGAGACAAACTACAAATATGAAACAGATAGAATATTTTATAATAAAACATAATTTTCTATTCTTCATATATATATAAAAAAAAAAAAAAAACAGTAAATAAAAACTAGTACTTCAAACTTAAATACTAACCAAACAAACAAAATGCAAATTAAATACTAATAAAAAACTTGAGACTTAGACTGTGTTTGGTTAGGGGTTTGAATTTTGAGTTGGGATTTGAATAGTAAAAATTTTGAATTTGAATAGTTGTATAATATGATATAAATAGATGTTTATGTGATGTTTTGAATGTAAAATTGATTTTAAGTATAATATAAAAATACTCCCTCCGTCATACAAATATGTGCTCATTTAGCCGGATACGGATTTTAATAAAAGTGAGTAACAATAATTATTTTTTTTCTTTTATAGCAAAAAAATGTACAAAAATATAATAATTTTTTATTTAAAAACATAACGAGAATATTTTTCAATGACAAAAAAAAAGTGAGCATATATTTGAATAACTGGGAGAGTAAAAAATAAATATTTGATTTAATATTTTTAAGAATAATTCAATCCCAAAACAAAATAACAACCCAAAAAAGCCCTTATGCCACCATTTTGGGAATAATTAAGGAGCACCTAGTCGCTTTGACTAAACAGAGTTTGTTTACATTTATTTATTTTTTATAAATATTAAGAAAAATATACATCATCCATCCTGCTTAAATTGTTCACTTTATATTATCACAAAATTTTAGGTATTAAATAAATAGTAAATAATTAAGAAATATATTAATAAAAAAATTATAAATTAAAATTACTAAGTAGTTTAATTTTAAAATGTGATTAAAATATATAATTATATTTTCACAAATAAAAAAATAAATTATATGACACGGACAAAAATAAAAAAAAATAAAAAGAATAAACAAATTAAGTGAAAATGATGAAATAATATATACTTCTCTATTTTAAAATATTGAATTTTTGACAAATAATAATTTTTAATTAATTAATAATACAATATTTTTACTATTTATGAAGTTTTTTCTTAAAAATATAGAATTAAATATATATTTTTATTAAGAAAAATTATATCTAAAATATAATATTAATATATATTTAAATTATAGTATCAAATAACTATTCAAATTAAAATTTTAGTATTGAATATCTAAATTACGCGCCGCCTTTTACTTCTTATTTTAAATATGTTGAATTTTTAAACCCAGCTTAAGTGTCATTTAAGAAATTGTGTTTTGTGTGTTATTACACGAACAGAATTGCTTCTAGAACCTTCAAACGGGAAATCATTGACCGTCAATTTAAAGGATACATTTCTGGCTGCTTTTGCCTTTGGCTTATTGATATTGTTTTTAATTTGGATAAATAACAAAAAAAAAAAAAAAAAAAAATTCTCCCTCCGTCCCATGTAATATGAGTGTATGTATTATTGCAGATACGATAATTTAGATAAATTAAAATTAAAATAAGTAAATAATTTAATTAAAATTAAAAAAATTATAAAATTTAAAATGACAAATTTAGTTAAATTACAAAAAGTATTTATCATGAAATGTCATTGTCATTTGATATATAGTGGTTCTAATTACTCGTCTTAAATATTTATAATTTTTATACACAAATCAAGAATCTAATATTTATAGTCTCTTTTACATCTATATATATATATAAGTTTGTTTCTGCTCATCACATAGGTGTGTTTACTTGTTCTAATTTTAATATTTCTATTTTTTTTTTTTAAAAATATCTAATCAAATATCCACTTTTTATTTATTTTATTAAAGTAATTTTATATTCAAAATATCACATCAAAACATATTTATATTACATCAAACAACTATTTCAATTCAAAATTTTACTATTCAAAATCAAAACCTCAAAACCTCACAAGTAAACACATAATAATAATAATATAATATCGCATTTGTTATATTTCAGAAAATATTAAATTAAATACAATTTTTCTTTTATTAATTTTTAAAAATTTTAAAATTGTAAAAATTTCTATTTAAACAGAAAAATATTTTTTAGATAAAAAAAATAACATTGTATGTAATGTATTAGCAAAAGAAAAAGCCCTTTCATCTAATAGGTATGAATTTATTTATTTTTTTATAAGTAATTTTTTAATATTAATATTATATAAATTAAAAAAAGTACGAATAATTAAATTTATTCTTAGAAAAAATAAATTAATTAAATAATAAAAATGAAAATTTGTAGTAATGCATAAATACCAAGTTTTTTTAAATATATATATATATATATATATATGAAGTAATTGCTAGGAAAAAATTAAAACAAATGCATTGATTCCCAAAAAATCATAATCGAAGAATAAATACATTAATTTATGCAAGAGGGGTAGTATAATTGAATTATGGGTGTGTTTCTTTTGAATTTGAAAAAAATTGGTTTGAGTTTAATAATTACTCACTATTTATTTTTCCATTTTAGTCTGTCTCATAACATAATAAAGTATCAATTTTATTTTTATGTCATTACCTTTTAGTTATTTCTACTTTATTCCTATTATATTTCAATATAATACTAATATTTTTTAAAATTACTTGCAAAAAGCAAATAGATACTTCTTTATAGGACGAAAGGAGTATTAAAATAATATTTGATGAGATGTTTACGTTCGAAAAAATGTATTTTTTTTTTAAAACACAAGAGTGCAAATACTAAAATTTGACAAAATTTGTGTGTAAAGAAACATACCTTATAAGATGGACTCCGATAGGCATGGTTGGATGCCTAAGTTTTATATGCTACACTTTGTTCGCCTAGTGTGATTTATTTTGTCGGATTTAATTCGTAAATTATTATATTTAGCCGTAAATTTACCTCTAACACACCCTATGGTAGCGGCCGGGATTTACACGCTATAAAAAAAAATAAGAAATTAAGAATTGTCGTCGTCTTCTTCTAAGCGTTGGAAAGATCTTCGAAGCTAGAACTGGATCGCATGGCGTACTCTGCAACAAGCTTCGAGAAAGACGACGACTTGTCCGCCAGCAGCTTCTCCGGCGTGTCGTATTCAGCAAGCAGCCCTGCAAACCCAAATCCTCAATCAACAATTAAAGACGACAGACAACACAATGCTCGATTCCTACGTACCGTTGGCTAACAGCAGCACCATATCGCTGTCGATAACAGACGTTATCCGGTGAGCAATCGTAATCACCGTGGAATCTGCAAAATGCTGCTTCAGCGTCTGCTGGATTAGATTATCCGTCGCCGTGTCCACAGAAGCCGTCGCCTCGTCGAGCACCAGAACCTTACTCTTCTTCAACAGAACGCGCCCAAGGCACACCAGCTGCCTCTGCCCGACGCTCCAATTTTCGCCGTTCTCCGAAACTGAAACCACAATTGAAATTAATTCAACAACGGTTTTGATGAAATAACATCAAGTTCGCAAGCAAGACAAAAATACCTGCAGAGTCGAGCTTCCCCGGCTTTTTCCGAACCTCATCTCCCAGCTGGCATTTGTCGAGAGCCTAAAGCAGAGGAAGAAAATCGATCAACATAAGACTAATAGAAGCTCGTCGAATGGTTTTCGATAGGACAAAACTGTACCTCCCATATCTGCTCGTCGCTGTACTCTTCGAGAGGGTCGAGGTTGCTCCGAACTGTGCCCTCGAACATCGTTGGATCCTGCGGGATTATGCTTAACCTCGAACGTAGATCGTGAAGCCCAATCGACAAGATATTGATGCCGTCGATCGATATTTCTCCCACGGCAGGTTCGACAATCCGGAAGAGCGTCTGAATAAGCGTCGATTTGCCACTGCCTGTCCTCCCTACGATCCCGGTCCTCTTACCCCCGAAGAACGTACATGTAAGGCCGCGTAGCACATATGGCAGGTGCGGAGCATATTGAACCTACAATCGAAGCGCAGATTATTCTAATCAGTACACGATCATCATGCTATGGAATGAAGTTCGGCGCACAGTTACCTGAAGATCTTTGATAGCAACTTCGCCGTGCGCCGGCCAGTGGCTCTCCGGTCGATTCGACTCCACGACGAGAGGAGGTTCCGCTGGAATCGAAGTGTACTGAAGAATTCTCTCGACAGATATGATCCTGTTTTCCGTGGTGCAGAGATACCAAACCGCCCATCCCTGTAACGAGTTTAAGCTCAGGCCATAGGTGACGGCGAGCCCAGCGATACCTGCACGTGATATGCAACGAAAATGATTTAGATGTCGTTGAATTTCAAGAATTCAAAAATGCACATCGAAAGTATACTTACTTGGATCGATTGTTCCTTCCGGCATAAGAATGAGGAAAATCAAGGAGAAGGCAAACGTCACAAGAGACAAGACGTCCAACCGAAGGCATAGCCACTCCATTGCAGAGGAAGTGTGAAACTTTGGTCTTGAATATGCGTCGATCAGTGTCATGTTTATGTCGCGGAATCTGTGTTCTTGATCGAAGCTTCTAATCGTGCTCGATCCTGAAAGTGTCTCCGAGAAGTGCTGTATCACAGGAGCTTTGCACACACCGCAGAGTCGGGCGAGCTCCCGCGCTGCAGCTATGTAATACCTCTGGCAAATTTTTTGAAGCACAACATAGCCGTTACAAGCACAGATTCATTTCAACTCCCATATAGGCCAAGAGCAGCGGCAATGACGTTTACCTGCAGCAATATCCAAATTGCAATCACAGGAATGAAAACGACGAAGACCTGCCACGCAATCTGCGACATGACAGCGACGATTCCAAGAAGCTGTATTATGGCGAAAGCAAAGAGCGCAACGATGGATGCCGTGTTCAAATCCACCGTGCTTTGATCTGTCGACACCTGTTAAAGAACATGCAAAGTTCAACTCAAGAAACTCCTTCGATCTCTACAAGGACTGCAACTTTCACTTACTCTGTTTAGAATTCTCCCGCTTGGAGTGGCATCGAAGAACGACATTGGGGCGCAAAATATGCTGAGATGCATATTTTTGAATAGCATGTTTGCTGTTGTGTAGCCTATCGTCACAACAACTAAGGATCTACCCAATATGCAAAAGGAACTACCAATCGATAGAGCGACATAAACAAGTATAAGCGTCGAGCCACCAACGGGCGCCGCCATGTCTTTCGACACCGGAGTTGCCCAAGCCATCCAATAATTGCTTCCAATCTGGAGTACCAGAAACAGAATCTGAGCAAGCAAAGCAAATGGAACCAGATATCCTCCGTAGGCGGTCGTGAAATATTTCCAATAAACCAATAATCCAACATTTCCTTTCTCCCGCTCTTCCTCTTGGACAAGCTGTCCCAATATATTCTCCCTGAGGTCGACTTGATCGTTTCTACCATTTAGAGATTCCTGCTTCTCAAGAACAAGTTTAGAATTGAATGAACTACGTTCCTTATCATCAGACGGTGATGTTTTTGAATCAATCGTATTAAATGCTTGTAACGCCTCCTCATGTGCGCCGACAAGCTCCATGAAGTCGCTTCCCGACATTAGAATATCATTGTACTTCCCACCCTGTTTAATTACTCCATCCTTCATAACCTGATCATTTCCCAGACAGATTTTCATTACCATCAAAGATCAACAAGACAAACCGAGCAATTCATAGATGAACATACAGCTCACCAAGATGAGGTCTGCTGCTGGAAGAAACTCCACCTGATGTGTGACATAGATAACAGTTTTGGAGTTCAGGAGCCCCAGAATGCACTCCTGCCATTAATTGAATTCAGTGTTAAAACAAGCCTATCGAATCGAGTTGCAGAATCAGGCACAAAAGCTTCGAGCTTAATGAAAAATCATCGATATGAACTACTTCACATATAACACTAAATATAAAGAGTTTCGATGCTGCTAAGATCGCTTACATTGAAGAGATGAATCCCCGTATGTGCATCCACAGCACTGAATGGATCGTCAAACAAGTAAACGTCTGCATCTTGATACAAGGCACGAGCAATCTGTATCCTCTGCTTCTGTCCGCCGCTAAGGTTAATTCCCCTTTCACCAACAACAGTTTGATCACCAAACGGAAGGATCTCAAGATCCTTCTTGAGAGAACATGCTTCAAGAACCTGATCATATCGCCATCTAACCATTTCCTTACCAAAGAGTATATTACCTTCGATCTTTCCACTTTGAATCCAAGGAGTCTGAGGCACGTAAGCCTTTGTACCGGATAGCCTAATATTCCCAGATATTTTCAGCATTTCCCCCAAAATACAAGACAGCAAACTCGACTTCCCCGAACCAACTGTCCCGCAAACTGCAACTCTCATCCCCCAGGATGCTCTAAGATGATATCTTTCAATGTTGGACTGGGAGATGATACATCCCAGGAGAAGTTTCCATTGATAACCTCTACAGCCATGTCTGAATCACTAAATGGAATCCTCTCTATAGCATCTGGTTGCAGATCATCGAGAGAAAGAAATGATGCAATTCGATCAAGAGACACCTTTGTCTGAACCATCAAAGCTATCGTGTCCGGGAGATTATAGATAGGCTCTTGAAGAATTCGGAATGTTGCGAGTGCAGAAAGTATCTTCCCAGATTCGAGTGTGTTCCCGATCAACATACAAGTACCAAATGTGACCGCAGACACAAACATAGGAGCTCCCCAGAAGGCAAACGTTGAAAGTGATTTAGCATAAAGATACTTCCTTAACCATCCTGTCTCAACCTTCCTAAGCTCCAAGATTTTGTCGAGAAACTTCAGCTCCCAAGCCTGAAGTTTGAGAATTCTCATGTTCCTCAGGACCTCAGAAGTCGCCTTCATCCTTGCGTCTTTTGACTTCATCAGTCCATCCTGGTATTTCTCCTGCAAACTCCCGAGTGGAGAGTTAGCCAACATCACCAAAATCGTCACCACAAGCGCAGCTACGGCAGCCAATCCGAGATCTTTATACAAGATCACCAATGCAAGTGCAACTTGTATGATCACCATCCATGGATCATGCATATACCAGCTAAAATCTTCGATTCTTTCAGCATCAACTGAAATGAAGTTTATGATCTCTCCAATCGAATGCCCTTTCTTTGACAAGCTTGAAATCGTCAGCCCCTTGTTGTAGATTTTCGCAACCAGCGCCGCCCTCGCCCTGTATCCAGCTTGCCGCACATTGAAAAACCAATGCCTCTGCGCCAAACACTCGAACATCTTCGCAACAAAGAACGTAGAGACTAGCACATATCCCTCGTACTTATATGTCCGATGTCCGCTTAAGTACTGCACGAAATTGTCCATGAGGAAAGGGCCGACGTAGGATGCCAATGTGTACACAAGCACATAGAGTGCTGAGAGCGCAATATCCCTCCATGTTGTAAGAATCAATCCTTTCACCAGCATCATCGTCGTGAATTTGTTGTTGCTCTGTCGGGAATAAGACTCCAATTTCTCGTTCAAAATTGGATAAGCCCCTCGAACACTATCATAGCTAGCAAGCTGAGGAACATCCTCCAGATTCAATGTCTTCTTGTAGCCAAGAGCTATTAAAGGACCAATCCAAGAAAATGTAAACAGGCTGAAAATTCCAGCATTAGCATAAGGGGTAACAGATTCATCCCCTTTCGAAGGTTTTCGAGAATCTCTAATATCACCATTCAATAGGGGTTCTTGAAGAGTGGTGGTTTCAATCCTTCTATTCTTCCATAGAAATCCAAAGCAAGATAAGATTAATTCCATCATCGTTGAAACAACATCGGATGCCCAAAATGGAGCAGACAAACGTTGGCTGTTTCTGTAATATAAGAAATCGACAACAAGGCAATAACAAGACAGGAAGAAGAAAGCACCAAACCAAATCCTCAAAACAATTGCGTAAATTGCTTCTCTGGAATTCGAGAAATGGCGCTGCAAGGAAAAATACACAGACAGCCAAGCGAGTACTCTCACTCCCAAATCTAATGAGATCACGATTTTTTCATCGGACCAGCCATTTCTGTACCAATAAAACAGAGTCATCAGGCACAGAATAATATTGTAGAATGAAAATCCCAACGTGGAGAACAGAGTAGGTTTGTAGTAGGAAACAGTCGTGTTTTCAACATCGTGTTGTTTTCGAAACCCTTCCCTTCTTCCCCTAAATTTGTTGCATAGCCACGATATGATCACGATGGCCAGTAAGATTAGGTGCAGAGAAGCGGTGAAGAAACGGAGGGAAATCGGGTTAAGGAAGATATCGCCGGCGGTGGTCTCCGAGAAGAACAGAGTAGAGAGAGAGCGAAACGCAGACATAATACCCATAATAGAACACGATCGAATCCTTAGAAATCTTTTTCAGTATGCCAGTTTTTCTTCTCTCTCGAGTCAATAAGAGGGAGTGTTGGCCAAGGAAAATCAGGGGTGAGTTATTTTTACAGAGATGAGATAGCGACGAGGGAATCAATAATCTATCAGAGAGTCCTCCATTAACGGAGGACATTGGACTGAGTGACTCCATTTTTTAGTGGCTTTGACTCCTTTGAGTTCGTATTCCTTTCCTTGGCGGCGATGGGAGAACGTGGCGGGCAAGACAGCGAGCGGAGAGACCCGACCATCGGGAGAGGGCAAGGGAAGGCCAGTGGAAACCGCCATCACTGTCGCTCCTCGTCAATTTCTGCACCATGAAACAGAGAAACATATTTCCGAGAGAAATATTAATATATAGCATTACTTACATTATTTGATTTTTAATTAGATAATATTAAATAGGATAATTTGAAAATAAAACAATACAATAATAAAAAATATATATATATTTATTTTTTATTTGGATAATACAATGAAAGAAAGTGCCAGATAAAACATAAAAAAATATATATATATTGTATAATATTTCAGACAAAGTAATAATTGTTTGAATATTTTTTTTTATAAGATAAAAAAATTATAAAAGTATTGTCAACAGTGAATATTTTATGTCTTTTTATTAATTTTTATTATTATATTTTTAAAATAATATTTATAAAATCATATATTGTGAAGATATCAATGAACATACTAATAATAATAAGCAATAATAAATAATACTTCTTCAGCTATCAAAACAATGCTCTTTCGATAGAGATGAATTTTAAAACAAAAATATAATTTTTATTTTTTTTTACTAAGATGAATTTGAATTTTATAGAATTCTTTTCCTTTTATAATTTTAAAATGATATAATAAATAGAATTCTTTTTAAAATTCAAATTCATGTCAAATCAAACGAGCATTAGTTTTAAAATAATTTAAGGGTGTGTTTGTTTGGGGGTTTGGATTGAGTTAGGATTTGAATAGTAAAAATTTTGAATTTGAATAGTTGTACGATGTGATATAAACAGGTGTTGATGTGATGTTTTGAATGTAAAATTGATTTTTAGAATAATATAAAAAATAAAAAATAAGTGTTTGATTTGATGTTTTTGGGAGAAAAAATTGAATGAATAGTAAAATTTTGAACAAATCTTACAAACGAACACACCCTAAGTGTATTTTTCTTTTTTAGTAAAAATATTTTTAAATAATATATTTTTTTTACTAAAAACAAAAATATTTTTATGACAAAAAGAAAATAATCAAAAGATTTGAACGAATGGAAAAATTAATAATATAGGAAACAAACTTATGGACCAAAGAAGAAAAGCAACAAATTGACCACCATTTTCTATCATAATAGTATATTACATCCCTCCGACTATAAATATTTTATTTATTTTATGTATATTTTTTAAATATTAATTATTATATTAAAATATAATATAATTTTTTTTAAAAAAATATAAATATATTTTCATTATTATTTTATAATATTATTAAAATGATATTTGCAAAAAAAATTATATAAATATAAAAATATTTTTAATATTAAATATAATAACACAAAAGATAAATATAACGAGACGAATATATAGAATATTAAAATTATGAAAATTAAAACAATAAAATTATGGGTAAACTGTTTTTTTAATCCCGACCCCTTATCATTTTAGTCCCGTAAGTGGAGCCTGTCGCAAACTAATCCCATAAGTGAAAAATTTTCGCTGTTTTAGTCATCTGGCGCCGGAGATGCCCGCGTAGCTCGCCGGAGGTGACGTGTCCGCCAGGTGTCGCTAACGTGGCGGACATGTGAATTTTTTTATTTTTTTTAAAACATATTTTTAATTTTATTTGTATTTTTTTTTAATTTTTTTATTTGGTACAATTAAAAAAAATGAAAAAAATAAATAAATTCACGTGTCCGCCAGGTCAGCGACACCTGGCGGGACACTTGGCGGACACGTCACATCCGGCGAGCCACGCGGGCGTCTCCACCGCCGGAGGATTAAAACAGCGAAAATTTTTCACTTATAGGACTAGTTTGCAACAGACTCTACTTACAAGACTAAAATGACAAAGGGGTCAGTTACGGGACTAAAAAAACAGTTTACCCTAAAACTATTTTGATATTTAAATGAGACTAACAAAAATAAAAAAGTAGATACGATAGACCGGGATGAATAAAGTTTAGGGTGTGTTTGTTTGGGGGATTGGATTTCCAATCCATTATTCATCATATTTTTTCTCCCCAAAAACATCACATCAAACACATATTTTTTATTTTTTATATTATACTAAAAATCAATTTTACATTCAAAACATCACATCAAAATCCATTTATATCACATCATACAACTATTCAAATTTAAAATTTTTACCATTCAAATCCCAACTCAAAATCTAAACCTCGAACAAACACACCCTAAAAAGAAAGTCGTACGTAAGCAATACACGGTTACTTGACGACCACACATACCATCATAAGATTAGAAGGTGATATGGTGTGGTGGACCGCACCACACGTGATCACCCCACTTTTGTACCAACTTTTTTACGTTGATTAGAATAGGTCTATATATCCTCGCATGCGGCGGCTACACTCCTGTGTATTCCATAATCGTCCCTCCCTCCTTGTCATTTAAATTTATGAACATTTTTCTTTTTAATTTTCATCCAAAATTATTTTTATTTTTATTTTTGAAGTAAAAAATTATTATATTTTTATATTTCTTTACTATAAAAAAATAATTATTATTATTCACTTTTATTAATTTCTGTGTCCGGTCAAATGATCACAGATTTGCATGACGGAGGAAGTATTATTATTCTATATACTAATATAATACTCCATCCGTCCCATAAATATAGTCTTAATTGAGTTGGACACGAAATTTAAACAATATTGATATTATATTGGTAGTTGAAAAAAATTATTGATAAAAGACTTTTTTGCATTTGTGAGTGTATTAGTATAAAAAGTAATGACAATTGTGTAATAATAATGAAAAAATATGAGTAATTTCATAGTGATATGGTTATTTATGAAAATAAAACTATTATTTTTGGACGGACAAAAATGATAAACAATACTATTGTATTGGGACAAAAGAGAGTACAATTATACAAATATATAAATTACTACTACATGCTATAATTTTATATAATATACTCAATTATTAATTTTAACATAAAACATATTTTTATAAAATATATTTGTAACTATGACAAATAATAAACTTGTGTTATTTATATATTTCAAGCATACTAATTTCAGCAAAGTTTCGCAACCACTCTCGGACTATGCCTCCATTCTTGACCATTAAATTTATTATTATTTTTTAAATATTAAATTAAATATTTTTTTTATAGTATATTAAAATTAATTTAAACTTAAATAATTGTAATATTTACTTATATTATATGAAATGATTATTAAATCGAATCATTATTTAAAAAATTCAATAAAAATTGGAACTTTCAAACATACATCTTCTAAATAGTTTGTTTTATTTTTAAAGTAATAATATGGTACTCCACTTTGCAATTATTTTTTATTTTATCATTTTAATTTGTTCTAAATTAATTAATCTTATAAAAAATTCAACAAAAAGTATTATTTTTATAATATTAGCACAATTCTCCGTATATAATATAAAAAAAATAAAAGTATAAAATGAACTCACCGTTATTTTCTAAATCACTTAAAATATATTACATTTTATATAAAATATTATGTTAATGTGCATATATATTGTATTTTTTTAAATAATATCTATGTAGAATTGTATCACTAAAAAATAATTGGATAAACAAATTTTAAACTATAATTAATATATTTATTATCTTGAAAATGTGGAAGATATATATATATTTTTTTGGATGAATGAATAATATAAATATAATATTTTATATTAAATTTTAATTTTGTACGAACTAATGAATAGAATATATGTTATATATTATATAAGTTGTATATATTATATTTTGATAATATTTATAAAAATAGTGTAAGTGAAAAAAATATCGAATGAACCAACTCTAAATGTTAATTAAATAAATTTATACTAGAAGTGTGAAATATGACTTGAAAATGATATAAGGCAAAAATGTATATTTAAAAAATAATAGTAATTAATTTTTATTAAATATATGATTTTTATATTTATAAATATAACAAATATAGGAAAAATTGTAAAAGATATTCTATACTATGTATACCAAATTATCATATTTGTCATTTATTTATTTCATTGACAAAATATATATTATACACATTTATAAAATTCGTCATTTCTATTTTTTGGACGCGCGTGGACAACCATGCTGTGAACAAGAATGATGACTTTTTTGGAAAGGTATAAAATATATTTACCAACAAGATAAAATAAAGAATAAAAGTGATAATCGAGTATAAATAAAATATATTTTTTTTATTTTTTCAATAAATATATTATACACAAAATTTTATATATTAATTAAGAATAAATTTATTTTTCAATAAATATATTTTTTCTCCAAAGTCATCAAATCAAACATTTATTTTTCAATTTTTATATTATTAAAAAAATTAATTTTACATTAAAACATCCCATCAAGTCTTATTTATATCACATCGTACAACTATTCAAATTCTAATAAAAAAATCCAAACACTCACCCTCTTTTGGTATTTAAAAGAATATTCTAAATTAATAAAAAATACCGAATAAAAAAACATTCCTTTTAAATAGCTCCTGTTTTTTTATTAATAAAAAATATATATTTATATTATTTAATATTTTATTTTTAGCCTCAGTTTTTTTCTTATTATTGTTTTCCCCCAAAACCGTGAACCCAAGCCAACAAATAAGACGGTGATAATGTAAAAATATAATTTGGGGATTCAAAAATGGAACCAGGTTTGTTTGTTTGTTTCCTCTTTTTATTAGTGCAGAAAATTGACTAGTTATCAATGCAAGGGTCTAAATCCAAATCCAATCTTTAGGAGCGACAGTGATGGCGGTTTCCACTTGCCTTCCCTTCTCCCGATGGAATGGACGGATGGGTCTCTCCGCCCGCTATCTTGCCCGCCAAGTTCTCGCTTCCCCAAGGAAAGGAATCCAAACTCAAAGGAGTCAAAGCCACTCTCAGTCCTCCATTAATGGAGTTTGTCTCTGCTTGATTAATGATTCCTTCGTCGCTATCTCATCTCTGTATAAATAACTCACCTTGATTTCGTCGACCAACACTCCCTCGTATTGACTCGAGAGGGATAGAGAGAGAAGAAAAACTGCCATACTGAAAAAGATTTCGAGAATTCGAGCCTGTTTTGGTATGGGTATTA